CCGCCTTTCTTCGGGTCGAGGGATCAAAATCGGATCAGCCGACTTCGGTGCGGCCATGCGTCGCATTTCAGCCTCGCGCTTGGCCCATACCATTTTGATACCCTGACGTCCCCGATCGATTTGGCCCCGAGCAGGCGATAATGAATCGCTTGCCTGACGTACCCAAGAAGATCGGCCCCGAAAAAGCAGGCCTTCCAGCGCGGCGAGCGCTCTGCGCCGGCGCGGGGCCACGTGTGCTGCCAGAGCACCGGCCCGGGGCGGTGCGGCGGCGACGGACGTCCCGGGCGCCTGGTCTGGGAGGATCGTGTCTCGGCGGAGTGGCGGGAAGGTTTCTGTGACCTCGGAAAATGGGGAAGGGGGAAGGGAAGGGGGGGAAGGGGGGGAGGGGGAAGAAGGGAAGGGGGAAGGGAAGGGGGGAAGAAGGGGGGAAGTGAAGTGAAGGAAGGGGGGGAAGCGGGGGGAAGGGGGAAGGGGAAGGAAGAGGGGGGGGAAGCGGGGGGGGGGAAGGGGGGAAAGGGGGGAGGGGCGGGGAAGGGGGGAATGGGGGTGGGGGGGTGCCGGGGGAAGGGGGGGAAGGAAAGGGGGGAAGGGGGGGTGCTGGGAAGGAGGAAGGAAGGAAGAAGGGAAGGGAGGGAAGGGAGGGAAGGGAAGGAAGGAAGGAAGGAAGGAAGGGAAGGAAGGGAAGGAAGGGAAGGAAGGGAAGGAAGGGAAGGAAGGGAAGGAAGGGAAGGAAGGAAGGAAGGAAGGAAGGAAGGAAGGAAGGAAGGAAGGAAGGAAGGAAGGGAAGGAAGGGAAGGAAGGGAAGGAAGGGAAGGAAGGGAAGGAAGGGAAGGAAGGGAAGGAAGGGAAGGAAGGGAAGGAAGGGAAGGAAGGGAAGGAAGGGAAGGAAGGGAAGGAAGGGAAGGAAGGGAAGGAAGGGAAGGAAGGGAAGGAAGGGAAGGAAGGGAAGGAAGGGAAGGAAGGGAAGGAAGGGAAGGAAGGGGAAGGAAGGGAAGGAAGGGAAGGAAGGGAAGGAAGGGAAGGAAGGGAAGGAAGGGAAGGAAGGGAAGGAAGGGAAGGAAGGGAAGGAAGGGAAGGAAGGGAAGGGGGGGAGGGGATGACTGTGGTCTTGAATCAGTTGGTTTTGGATGAGGGAGTTTTCTGTTTGGTTTCCCTTGCAAACCACCTAAATCGGTGATCACCTTTGGCCAGAAAATATACAGGAAAAATGACAAGGTCAGAGGACAGAAGGTCAGAAAACCAGGAAAGCAAGCGCTGCTTGACTTGTGGGCTACTGAGGGAAAATACACTTGGGAGGGGTCTTTTCTTGAGTCATGCCTTTTAGTTCCAGGTCCCTGAGGACCAGCTGAGCTAGTTCCCCCCAACTTTTACCGTTTCTTTTTTGGTTGGGAGGGTTCCCCAACTAAAATAGAAGAAAGTTGGTACCAACTTATTCTAGGTCCTCTCTAGAGGACCTCGTGCGAGAAGCCGACAATTTCAAGCCACGAGTTGGAAGCCGACCGGCACAGCATTCCCTCGAGGCCTGGAGTTCTCCGCGGGGCCTCTGGCGCGCGAGGCCGTCTCGCTGCTGGAGGCCTTGCCATCCCCGGAGTCCTGGACGGAGATGCTGCCGCCGAGCACGGCGAGCTGCGAGGAGGTGGAGGAGAAGGCGAAGGTCTTCTTGAAGCAGCTCATCCCCTGGCTCGACGCGCCATGGGTCGAGTTGGCAAGGTGACTTTTTTTTGTTTTTTGCGTTCAATTCATTCAGCTCTTTTTGTTCCCAGGTTTGTTTACCCACCATGGCAGTTTCCGAGATCTTTGTGAGAGTTGTGTTGGTTGTATTGTTTTTTTTTTTTTTTGTTTGGCCCGCGTCTTCGGATCAACCAGGCACCCTTTCCAACCAAGCTCCACTCCGACCCATCCTGCGCTGAGTAAGCTGATTTGGAAGCGCTGAACCGCCGAAGGTGTTCCCCTGAAATTGGGGGGCACGCGGAGTGCGCGCGTGTACATAGATTTTAAGAGCCGCCAGACATTTGGGGCCGTACGACTCTGCACTGGCGGTCCTGATTAGAAACAGACGGGTTCCACCGGTTCAGCCGGGTTTTATGCCCCATTCAACAGATGGAAACCCATCAATTTTTACAAATTCTAGTCTGAGAAGTTGGCTTCCAGGGGAATTTGGTGGGAATTATATTACGAATTTTATCCATTTTCCCCAAAGGATACCTGTGCTCGCAGCCAGTCTTTGGCTTGCCGCCCGTTTTTTTTTCGTCTTCCGCAGGCCGAGCCGAGGAAGGTGGCCTGCGGGAGCGCGCGCGGAGCCCAAGAACGCTTTTCTCGCTCTTTTTGGGCTGGCTTAGTTCATGGTCATACGGAAAGGGCGGCCAAGCAAATTGAGACTTGTTGCTCCCAGATTTCATGACTTGGCAAGATGACCACTTTCTAGCAGCTGAATTCGTTTGGATCATCTTTTTTTTTCCCGTATGAAGCAGGTGGTGCTTGGATGCATCTTGAAACCCTGCTCATTGCCAGACTAGCTGACCTTTGTGCCATTGATGTTGCGCGTGTCAGAAACAACACGTGATGGAACCTTCTCTTGAGCACAATCCTCCAGCAAGGTGCGGGTCTATGTTAGGTATTCACTCTGGCTCATGTGAGGGGGCAACTTGAAGGCACGGATCTTCTTCTTTGCCACCCCCCCGGTTTCGGAGCTGGGACTCGAGGCAAACAATTTGAGCACACCATCTTGGCGGAAAGGAGACAGTTCCAGCCACTCTTTTGGGCCAATCTGCTGGGCGTGGGCTGGTTTTTTTGCGTGGCCTGAGGCACACCCTTCTGCTGGTGAGAGCCGAGGAGGACGGGGAGGAAAGGACTCACATCCTGGGCCCGGCGCCCCGGAATCCAGCACCGGAGTTGGGGCGAACATTCGCTGCTCTTGGCATGTTTTTTTTTTTTTTTTTTTTGTTCTGTTCATTTTTACCGGGGGTCTGCAAGAAAGAATAAGTTTTTTGCCACCATACCGAGAGCAGAGATGGTGAAAATTCAGCCAGGAATCGAACCGCAGGTTTTAGTCCATGTTTCCATTTACCACGGCGCTTGCCATTTTGGGTTTTGGGTACCTACTGTTGACCCACAGGCCCTTTTGTACGTCTCGCACGGCATAGAGAAATCCCAGTCACGGGGGTCCACCGGGCAGGTTTCACCAAGCCAGGTTTCAGGAGGCCTTCCGCCGGAGAAAAAAAATGGGTATGGCTCAAAAAACCGGCACCAAAATGGAACCCTGGCAAGTGGAAAAAATGGGCAAAAAAACCTGCGTAACCCTGGCTCTTTAATTTTGAGCCGCTGCCAAATCTCCGCAAGGCTGGGGCAACAACCGGCACAACCCGCTGGGCCTGCGGCCAGCGGCTCAGGGCCGAGCGACGGAGAACCGAAGGTTGCGCCGCGTGGCGGGCGTGTCTTTTTGTTTTGGTCGGGTCGCCCCGCCAAACAAGCGAAGGAGCAAAAATGGGTGGGCCTCTTGCCTGGCCAGAAAGAGAACTGCGCCAAAAGCAGGGGCGCCAGACGAAAAAAGAGGCGGCTGTTGTTTTCCTCTTGCTTTGCTTCCAAAGAAACCGCCAGCAAAATCGAGCACTCCCAAACAAACCACAAGCAACACAGAAGACCCGCCCTTCTGGTCAAAGAGAAAGGTTCCCGGCCTCAGGCGACATGGAGACAAGGAGGGGAAGGCTGAGAAGGCCGTCCGAGCCGTTCAATTCTATCCCTCCCCCCCCCCACCAAAAAAAGAAGAAGAACGCAAACAAAAAAAGAAAGACTGGTTTTCCTTTTTTTTTGTTGGCTTTAAACTTCAAACCATCTTTGGGGCCCTTGACCCATTAAATCTATGGTCCAGCTTCTGCCGATTCGGTCCGGCTGAACAGTCTCGTAAGTTTAGATTGGGATGCACCCGGAACATCACAGAGAGAAAGAGAGAGAGAGAGAGAGAAAGGGAGCCCTTCACTTGTTGCATGTTGAGTTCTCTCATTAGCTGCGGGTTCCAACTTGAAACCACCATGCGGGGATTTTTTCGCCGTCACTTACGTCAGAGCTGAGATATGGAGCCAGGTGAATGGAGTCTTTGAGTGCACCACGCGTCCGCGGCCGGCTTATGCGACCGAAGTTGCGGAGCTCAAGTTGTGTGTTTTTTTGCGGTTCTGAAAAGAACCGGCGGTTGCCAGGGAGTACAAGCAAGAAGTGTCCTCCGATTGTCGCGCTCAAGGTGAGATTGATGCACAGGGTTGGCCATGTTGGGCAGAAGTTGGGCCAGTGCGCAAAACGAAACATGAGATGCCAACGTCCAAGGTTTGAGGAGGGAGAGGGTGGCAAGCGGAAGGCACAAACGCCTGGCTCTCGAGTGCTTCAAAGGCTGATGTCATGGAGCCATGTGTGTGCGTGTGCGCGTGTTTGCGGAGTCTTTTTGAGGGCACCCTTTTAAGGTGGGTTCGAGGGGAACGTAGAAAGGAAAACCGCAGAATTGGGCGGTCCCACATTTTGGAGTGCGTGCCCCTAGCTGCATCCCTTGCAATTTTGGCTCCTGTGGCGTTCACTGCAGCATTGCTGGTGGTAAGATGGCAGTGCGGTTCTAGAGCAAAACTGGCGGGTTTTGGACATTTGAAATTTCGCGCTGTGCCCACTTTTTAACTTGGGCTTGTCTCAAAGGAATTACTGTTTAGTGGTAGTTTCCATTCAACCCACTAAAAGTTGAGCTTTTAGCGGGGGATCTGAGGGCAGCCCAGAGACGTTACAACCCCGGTGCACATTCCCTCAACCATGTTAAGTTGCAACGCCAAAAGGTGTGATCACCTTTTAAACTTTTCGGTCTTAGAAGTGCAGCCCGACTGGCGACCTTTGGATAGACGGGCTCTGACAGGAGAGGTTTCAGCGGAACAAAAAGAAACTCACGAAAAGCTGAGAAACAACTCAGCCAAAAAACCTCAGCTGATAGTGCAGACTCAAACAAAAAAACGCAGAAGGAACACGAGGAACGGCTCAAAAAAAACAGAACAAACTTAGCCTTCAAATCAGACAGAACTCAGATGCAGCTTGGCCTTGAACTCGATCCCCCACTTGAGTTTGAGGCTGAGTCGGGAGCCGAGTTTGTTTTCTGAGTTATGAAGCTTTTTTGAGTTGTTTCTGCGTCTTTTCGATCTTTTTTTGTTTTCTTGGGCAGATTTCCTCCCCAACCAACCCCCCAGAAAAAGTCAGGACAACTCAAAACAACTCAGCAACAACTCAGCAACAACTCAGCAACAACTCAGCAACAACTCAGCAACAACTCAGCAACAACTCAGAAAACAAACTCAAACACAACTCAGAAATAGCTCAGACAAAAACTCAGCTCCCGACTCAGCCTCAAACTCAAGTGGGGGGATCGAGTTCAAGGCTGATTTTTGTTTGTAAGTTTTTTGCTTTTGTTTTTGCAAATTCCCGGATTTGCGGCGTGTGTGGGCGAGATCAGGTCACAAACCTCGGTTTGCTTGTTCTTTCCTCGTCATACACTGGCGTCAGTCGCGCGACTGAGGTCCCGGCACTTGGTGGAGGTGTCCTGCGGCAGCAACCACTCCGCCATCCTGGAGGACTTGGAGTTGATGCCTGAGACCGGTGAGAGTGAGACGGGCGTCAGGGAGCGGGTTGATTCATGTCTCCGGCGCCTGGAGGGAGCCTGGAGGGAGCCTGGAAAAAGCTACGGTGGCTAACTAGGTTCCAATCCGACTCCCCCAAAATAGACCTTGGAGTGTTTTCACCTTGAAGGGGCACTTGGGTGTTTTTATTGTGGTTTGGAGAAGTCCGTTTTCCCCGTCTGCTTTGGGGGTAGTCAAAATAAGTCTTGAATGCACTGATTCGGCCGTTAGAGAACCCAGGTCCTTGACCTTCGACTCAGTGTTGGACCTTGCCGGCCAGGTCTCGACATTGTTACAGAGCGCCCTACGGGATGCAATTCATCTGATCATTTTGAGTTTTTGATGTGGTTCTGGCGGCATGGAGTCAAGCCACTTGAGGAACATTTGCCTTGAAAGCTTACATTGGCTGCAGATAGGCCTCCCAATTCCATACCTGAAAGTGGTGCTGAACTCCTCAATTTGGCTAACAACAAGCACTGCCGTCTGAAAACAAGCGCAGGGCTTCCAAGGAAGATGGCTATTTGCTGTTTTCACCGGACACCGAAACCATTCAATTTGTGCTTCTCACCGGCGAACTTTTTTGCAGAACTTCTCCCCGCAATTTTTGACCCCCAAGGAGACGTTCGCCCCTCTTTCATCCGTTTTCGGCGTTTCTTCCCCCATGGATTCGAAACCAAAAGATCCGTGCTCAGGCCGGCGCCGAACGGGCACACCGGGCAGTGCCCTGGCGGTATGCGAGTTGGGAGGATTCTTGTCTCAGGGAGGTCGGCAGGAAACCGCAGGACACGCGCCTTCCATGCCGCGAAATGGGTAACACGTCGGAAAATAAAGAACTATCTTTGACAGAAACCATACTGGGTATGTCAAGGGTATGCTTTTTTTCTGGGTATTTCATCCCCCAGACTTGCGCCACGTTAGAAATAGCCAGCGATGCGCTCGCTGGCTGAGGCTCGTCTCGGGGGGTGGGGTGGGTGGGTGGGGTGGACGCCGGGGTGGCCGCTGGAGGCATGTCCTGGCAAAGACTCGGCTGCTGACCTGTGGCAACAACTCCAACGGACAGCTGGGCTGAAGCCTCAGCCCTGTGGTACTCCTCAGGATGGTTCCATGTTGGTGGATGGTTCCTGGTTGCCGTTTTTGGAGTTGTTTCTTTCCTTTTTTTGTTCTCCTCTCTGAAGGGAAACCAAGGAATACAAAGGACACGGGCCATTCTTGGAGTAGCCGTTTTTTTGGGACCCACCCACTTGACAAGCGCTAGATCTCATGGCTTTCTTCGCTGCAAGGCCATGGCGAAACGCCTCTAGCTCAGTCGATGGGGGCTTTTTTTTTTTTTTTGGGGGGGGGGGGGGCAGGGGTGCTTAAATGCCTTCCAGCCTCAGAATGGGTTGAACCTCCCGCATTGTTTTGTCATCTTTCCCTTCTTTTCAGCTTCCCTCTTTATTTTAACCAAAAGGGGCTTCCAAGTGGGACGGGCGCAGCTTGCCCAGGATCACCCCCAAAGTTTTTTTAGTGAGAACTCCACCCCCACTTTGCTTTCCGATCTCCGCAGCTTTCCAACAGCCGACAGCTCGAGCGCTGCTTGCCGCCCGCGCCTGGCGCCACGGACGGCGGTCGTGGGGCCGTCGAGCCGATGGGCGACTACGAGGACTTCCTGGCGCTGCGGAAGCACGTGCGGAAGCTGCAGGGTGGCACCCCACTGCTGCTGCACACCAACGGCGAGGAGAGTTTTTTTTTCTGGGTAGGGGGGGGGGTGGGGGGCAGGTGGATTTCCTACCGAAAAGGGAAATTTAAAGGGAGGCTCTTCAAGAAGTCGTATGTTTAAGCATTTGTGGGGTGCCCACTTCTGGTTGGTTTTCATAGGAAACCAACCTGCTTTGGGGGTCAGAGGCCATTGCCTTGGTCCAAAGCCAGTTCAAGCAGGGCTCCGCATAAGTCCCATGGTTGAAGCATCACTTTGTGGCCTCATGATTCGTGAGTTTCCTTTGGGTGATGTTTTACGTTGGAAATGCAGATGCGGGCGCATCTACCCTCTCCATTTTTTCCAGTTTGAAACCAAACAGAATCCCGAGCTCCATATTTCGGGTTCCCCACTTCTGACACAGACCCATTACTTGCTCGTTCTCAGCATGAGGGAATGGCCCCGCATCAACCATCCCTTGCGGTTCCCTTCAGTTCAGGGCCATTCCCCAGATGTTGATTGCTCGAAGCGCAGGACGACCTGCAGATTTGCACCTTTGCGGTGTCCCAGGATTTGCAGGCGCAATTTGTTCGAATCCGGTTGACCTGGCCATCGGGATGTGCTCTCATCGCCAACTCTAGATTTGCTGCTTCTTTGCCTTGTGGATGTTTGGTTTGCTAAAGGAAGCCAACTGAAAAGGGCACCCATACATTTGAAGGACCGACACCCTATGGTTTCTCAACATTTCCCTGCTCAGTCCATGGTGTTCTCTTGGCGGGAACAAGCCAAAGCGTCTGGCAAGCAGAAACCACCGCGACATGTTGGGACCCCTGACCCCCTTCTGAGTGTCCCACTGAGAACCGCGGCTAGAGCTCACTCCCCGAGCTTCTGGATTTTAGACTTTGTGGCCTTGAGCCACGGTAAGCAAAAGACACCAATCCCACATCGGTGAGATAACTGATATCCTCATCGCCAAAACGGGCAACTGGGCGCCGGCCCAGTTCCCTTAAACCTATGCAGGGTTTCTGCTTAGATTCGGGTTCCCATTTCATAGGGAATCTGGGTGTGGTCCCTTTTTTTGGGGCTACCCCTTTCACCAAGGACAAGAGACACTAATTTGTTGGGGTTCCATGTTTAATGAGACAACTCCCAGAATGTTGACCCCAGATTTCCAAAACTAGCGTGGCGCGTTGCCCCCAACAAGTGATGAATCCCCAACCAGAACGCGACACCCCCCACTCCAAATCAACCAGGAGTTCACGAATCCGGAGTCAACGTTCTGCGGTAACGTGGGCCATCGCACTTCAAAATTCGCCCAGAAGTTTCAGCGGGTGGCCCAGCCTTTTTTTTTTTCTTCTGAAACCCGGGGTGAGTCAAGCTCAGTGGGGCGGCTGGGCTGCGGCTGGCTGGGTAACTCGGAGGCCTTGACCTGGCGGCGGTGCGAGGGCGGCAGCGCCTGCCGCCTGCCGCTCGCCGCCATCGCGGCGGTTGACGTGAGCTCCCCGGGCACCGGGGGCCACTTTGCCCTCAAGGCGTGAAACCAACTGCGGCGGGTGGAGGGGGTGGGGGGGGGGGTGGTGGGGTGGGGGTTGGAGGTTGGGGTGGTTGGTGGTTCTCGAAAAATCACGGAAGAACCCCCAACATTCCCTAGGAAGATCCATCTTTGTTTGGAAGGGAAAAAGCTGTGTCAACTTGGGTTTCCTCCGAAATGGCTTCGGTTTTTGGGTTTGGCTGGTGAAAGCACGCTGGGGTGTCCCTGCGTGCCTTTTGAGGTGGGCAGACTTGCCCACCAATCAACATGGAACCAAACAGGTCCCTTTACCAACAAAAAGGAAGGTCCACCCTAAAACCATTCCCCAACGTCGAACGGTTCGGTTCCAGTTTTTTGTTTTGTTTTTAAATTTAAATTTTGGTGGACGTTTTTTGGGACCATTCCCCCCAAAAAAACCCGCGTCGAACGGTTCGGTTCCGGATGTTCATTCTGGCAGCGTTTCTTCGCGTCGGGGAGCTGCCAGGTGCAGCTCCGGGAGAGGCAGGCGAACTTGCCCCAGACCCTGGAGCTGATCTGCACCTCTAAGGACCGGCAAGCCTTGGAAGGATCAGAGGTTTCTCCCAGCCACTGGGATCAAACTTTTTATTTATAACCTACTATATAATAATTATGTTTTCAACATTATCACTGGACGGCTCAAGTAGAATTGTAGCAATTGAATTAGTATTAATATAATATATATATATATATACACATGTATAGAACCATGCTGCCATTGGTTACAACTCATTATTGTTATGATGATATATTTGCCAACACCGGCAGCAGAGAGACGAGTACCATCACCAACCTTTACTTGGTGGCCTGCAACTGGTTGAATGTTCTCGAACAATTCCTTTTGATTTGTCATGTGTCGTACTTTTGTTTTCCTTCTCCAAGCTTCTTTCCCCAGCTGAAAGCGTTTTGGGGATCGGTCGATCGGCCCAGATAGGCGAGGGCTGGTTTGGGGCAGCTTTCAGGGGGAGATTTGGTTCCAGGGTCCGGGGGCAGTTGGAGCTTCACTCGTTTGGTTCAGGTCTTGCGACTTTTTGTCGCTGGTTTCACCATGTCCTCCGTTTTTTTGTCGGAAATTTTCGCCTCTGTGAACGATGTCCACCGAAGGGTCCCTAATCAAAATCACGGGCCCGTTTTGACTTTCCCAAGTCAAAGCCAGAATCTGATCACAAACAACCCGCCGGACCGACAACCGGCGCGGCAAAATTGCACGTCACCGCGCTCACGGTGCAGCCAAACGCGCGCGGCGCTTAGGTTTTTTTGCACTTACCACAGTGCGCCCCCGTCAAAGCGTGTGCGATGCCCCCAACACGTGTGTTTCGCCGAGGCGAAGCTAGAGAAATTAAGAAACGCAACATAATCTCCGTCACGCAATTCTCCTGGCTTTGGGAGAAGCGTGTGCATCTTCGCGCAAACCTGTATACGTTTTGGGGGGCTGTGGTCATCTCCGGGTGCCATGACTGCTGCTGCTGGTGCTTGACCTTTTCCCGCTTTTTCCGCATCTTCTCACCCCCTGAGCTCATGGACCTTTTTGCTGTTTGGGAAGATCATAGTGGCCCATCCCCTGCGTCTTACGTGCAGGACGACCTGGAGAGCTGGCACCAGGGCCTGAGGTTCCTCATCGGGGACGGGGCGGCGGAGTCGGCGACCGCGGACTTGGAGCAGAAGCTGAAGTGGCCACTTGGCGTTTTGGACCTCGAGGTGCCTGGAGCGTGTCACCGCTAGTTGGTCATAGGCGTCCTGTTTAGTAGGTTAGCTTGATGAGAAGTAGGTGGGTTTCACTGGTTTAGATGGGTTTTTATTCCATTTGCCAGGGCCAGCTATTTTCCAAAAAGGATACCTATGTAGTTGGTGGTTTGGATTGGTTGGATTCGGATTTGGATTTGAACTCGTAGAGTCGTAGAGGGTAAATGGGAAGCCCCTCCTTAACCACCAATCCAACAACTAGGAAGCTAAATGCAAGCCCCAGATCTCTATAAGGAGAAGCCGTGGTTGATTTTGCTCGATGCCTCGGTGTCCCCACACAAATCGAAAGGGGCCAAGGGGTCCGTACGTTTGAACATCACCTTTGGGTTTTGGGTGAGTTTCCCTTTCGGGGTGATGTTCAAGGGAAAGTGTAAAACTCCGGCTGATTCTCATCCTTTTCGGCTGATTCTCATCCCTTTCCACTTCCGAAACCGGCTGTTATCTATTGGCTCTCTGGACATCTTGGAAACATAACATTTGGGGGTCATCCCCACATACCCAGAGAACAAGCAGGTCAGTGGTTTGGAGTAGCTTTGGCATTCAAACCGGCCGAAATGAATGATTCCCCTGCAGTTCACGTGGAGACATCTTGACTTGAGTTTTCATTCTCATTGCAGCAAGTGGACTGGACTTTGCAGTGAAAGAACTCAGGCAGGAGCAGCTGATCGAGCGCTTGCAGCAGGAGACTTGGTAAGGGCGAGCTTGGCTCGATGTCATCCTGTGGCTTCCCTTGACGCCTGGAGCCCTTGGTTCCAAGTATGGGAAGTGGACGTTTTGTGGGGCTTCCCCAAAAGGAGGCTAGGCTTCCAAACCCCTCCTGTCAGCTTCCATGATTGCTGGAAAGAGGTTGGAAGGCTCAAATTGTGAACATCCCTCTGGTCCAGGTCACTGGCCCTTGCTCCGTGTTTCTGTTTTATCCTCCCCCCCCCTGGCGAGGAGAACAACATGCTCAGAGAGATTGTGAAGAGGAAGGATGCCACCATCGCGGACCTGCTGCGGGACCAGAACAAGTCCATCAAGACAGAGTCCACGAGTCGGGAGAGTGACGAGCACCTGCAGTACCGGGAGGTGGCCATTTTGCGGCGGAAGAACAAGCGGCTCCAGAACGAGCTGAAGTCGAAGCAGCAGACCATCAGCGGGCTGCTGAAGCTGGTGGATCGGCTTTCGCAGCAGGCGGACGCGGAGACCAGCGCCCAGGAGACCGCGGAGGAGGAGGTGGAGGTGAACCCCAAGGACAGCCGGCCGCCGGAGGCCAAGGCGGAGCCCAAGGCGGAGGCGCCCCGAGACGCTGCGGCCCAGGCGCGGGAGGCGCGGGAGGCGCGGGAGGCGCGGGAGGCGCAGGCCATGGAGGCGCTGGAGGTGCGCCAGGCGCAGGCTGCGGCGGCCCAGGCGGCGGCGGCGGCGGTGGCCCAAAGCGCCCAAAGCGCACAGAGCGCGAGCGCGCCCGCGGCGGCGCAGATGGCGCAGATGGCGCAGCTGCTGGGTGGCAGCCCCTCTGGGCAGGGGGAGGTGGCCAAGATGTTCATGGGGGAGATGGCGGGGCTGGCGGAGAAGCTGCAGATGTTGGAGAAGGCCGCCGCCAGCGCGCCCGCGCCGGCCTTTCAGCCGCCCAGCCGCGCACCCAGGGGCAAGGGCCCCAAGAGCGCCCAGGCGCTGGAGGCCTTGCAGCGGGAGTTCGATGCCCTGGAGAACAAGAAGCGGGTGGTGCAGCATTTGGCCCACACCTTGGAGCCTGAACCTTCAGACTCTGAGGATGATGGCTTCCCCCTGAGATGAGAATTCGGGAGCCAGTCTATGTAATTTGCATGGAGGCCCTATCGGGACTCGCCCTGGTGTGGCAAAGTGGAGCTGAAATGATCTAACAGCGTGCCACGAGGGGACACCACCCTTGACCAAAAAAGGGAACCTATCAGCTGGGGCCAGCAAACTAACCGCCAAGCCAGCACACCACCGGGCCCCAAATCAGCAAGAGGGAAGCTGAATCAAGAGAGAACGGGGCTAATATAGAAATTGCCAGCACTCTTTTCACCTCCAAGATCGGAACACCGACCTCCTTTTCCCTTTTTTTGGTCTTCGTGGTGTGTGCGTGGTTTTCCTTTTGTTGTTGGGTTCGAGCTCTCATAAAACAGATCTTGGAACACCAACATGTCATGTATTCTTGTGGCAGCTAGGTCCCCCAGCTAGGTGCCCTTTCACCGTTTCTTTTTTGGGGGAGGCTTCCCCTACTAAAATAGACTCCAAGAAAAAAAATGGTACCCTTATTCCAACCTCTCTACTGGAGGACCTTGGGCAGGGAAGGCACAAGAACGGTCCGAACACGGGCCGCTTGGTTTTGTTCAGCCGGCGCCGGCGGGTTGCGGTTGCGCTGAGAATCGAGGCCGGAGGGCGGCCTGCCGCAGGTGGCAGAGGCGGGAAGTCCTCTTTTGTGTTTGGGGGGTCTCATCTTACCTCTTTTTGAGCGGAAGATTGGAAGAATGGGATTGGGGCGGCTTAAACCTCACCCCTTCATGTCTATTCCGGACTGTACAGGGATTTTGGGTTTGAATCATTTTGGTGGTAAATAGTGAGTTCGGTTACTTTTTTGGCCAATCCACTCAGGAGGAGAGGTTTTAGTGGCAGCCATGCTGATGGACGAAGTCCGCGACGATCGGCAGCTGGTAGGTGGCCTTACCCATCCCAAGCTGCAGGATTTTGTCCGTCATGTCCATCCATAGAGGAGCCGAAAGAGGGGTTCCTCCTTTTTTTTGGGGTGGGGGTGGGGTGGGGTGGAGTGATGTGGCCCTTAAATATTGGGCGGGGCGGGGGGGGAGCTGGTTCAAGGAGAAGCCGAAAGGAAGCCGGTAATCAACTTCAGGGTGCAGCCGGGTTTTGGGTCTTTCCGCCGCCCCAAAACCGCGAGGTGAAGTTCCACCTTGAGAGGAACCTTCAGATCACAGTGCCGCGAGCTCAAGGGCAACTCCGAGAAAAGGCTTCTCCAGTGGATGGGCTAAGGGATCGGCACGGCGGGGAGGTCTTATCAACCAGTATTCATAGAAAGCCCAGAGTCCGTGCTATGGAAACCTGCCAGCCCAACTGGTGCTGATTTGGCCCATCCTGGAAGCCTCTTGGAACCCAAAGTCCCGAGTGGTTTCTGCGGGTTGGGTGGGGGTTGGGAGGGGGGTTGGTTTCCAAGGCAAAGGGTCTGCTGCGGAGCTGATCACACCTTTGCCATTGCCCGGGCCTCGCAGTTTTCGGAAGACTTGCACATTGTAGAGAGGGAGGGAGAGACAGGGCTGTTTGCTCAGCGGCGAAGATGAACCAAAGGAACCTTGAGCATCAGCGGCCGCTAAGCCAATTCCAGGGAACCACCTGAGAGAGAGAGCGAGAGATATCTGGAGAGATGAGCAAGGTGAACATCATCCGTGCAGCTCTCAGCTAGCCTATGCCACGCGGGTGTTCCTGCCTCGCTGAAATCAGGCATGCACGGCTGGTGTGTTGTCTCGTTTTTTTTTTTTTTTTTTTTTTTTTTTTTTAATAAACCTTTTGGAAGCTTTCTGGTCTCTGCGCCGGATGAGTTCCGAGTGGCTCCTTTCAGCTTTTCCCTGGGGCCCGGTTGCCCCACGGCGAGTTTTTTCTCCATCGTTTCGGCTCAAGCGCTCAAGCACTAGTCGCACAAGAAATAACGCTGCAGTCTCTCCTTCTGCAGTTGAGACTCAGCTGCAGCGCGGCAAGTTACTTCGGCTTCGTGCTTGTTCTTTTTTTGGTTTGGGGGGGGGGGGGGGGTACTTTTTTTTTTTTTTTTTTTTTTTTTTTGGGGGGGGGGGGTTACCTTTTTTTTTAAAGCGGGGGGGGACTTTTTTGTGGTTTTCGATAAAGCCCCACAATCTTGCGGGGTCACCCCCCACGAAAAAAAAAGAAGGGGCGCACTTGTTTGTTTCTCTTTTTCCTGCGCTGTTGTCTAAGGACAGCTTCGCATTTCATAATGCTCCTCGGCAGAAAAATCCGTCTGGGTTGCCCAAGAGGTTGTGGGGAATCCCTTGAAGGCAAAAGCGGGGTGTTTGATATCTGTTTCAATTGGACAAAGCAGGCTGATAGGCCTATAATGGTGACCCCGGATCAAACAACCTGTCCCATTAAGACTTTAATCCGAGGTTCCCAGTACTCAAGAAAGGCTTATTTTGTGGATTGGACCCCTGGCTCTTGTAAAAGGGTAAATGGGTCGTTGCGGCCGCCTTTTTAATTTCTTGAAGCATGGTTCTGGGATTACGACCATTTTAATACCGGGTTTTGAGCAAGTGACTCAGTTGCCCTCACGAAAGGCCTCCTTTGCATAGTTGATCGGTTGGTTTGATTACACATCGATGGGTTCCCCTGGTTTAGGTGCGGTTTCTTCCATTCAGGGAAATCCATCGATTTTTCCAAAAGGCCACCTGTGCTCCTTCGGTTTTTTCGTTGTCCGCCGACGGATTCCGAGGTCTTCTTCTATTCCAGGATTCTCGGTGGTGGATGCCGCCGTTGCCTCGGCCCCGGCCGAAAAAGAGGAGCAACTTGGGTTCTCGGCCGGGGGTGCATTTTTTTTCTGTTTTGTTGATCAAAAGGTCCTTTGCATGGAATGACCATTGGGAAGCGTCACAAAAATGATGATAGTTCCCATTAAATGGGAAAAGTTAGCCATGGTCATTTGGGGGTCGAACGGAACCTGGACCAACCCTCATATATCATTTCTGTGCTTTTTTTTTTGGTGAGCCAAGAAAAGTCTCGAACGCGCGAGGAGGTTGGCTCCGACGTGAGCACCGTGGACACCGACGATGACACCGAGGCAAAAGATGTCTTGTTCGCGGCATTGACAATTTTGTCTTGTCTCGTTTAACACCTGGGTGGCCCATGCAAGGTGAGTCTTCCTTGAGGGGGGGGGAACCCTGGAAAGGGTATGGTGGGTGTGTCTTTTTGAATGGGGCCCCGAAATGGCTTGGTTCCTTATGGCTCACGAAGACAGAGCCATTTGCTGGGATCTGGAGCCTTCTCAGCTTTTAGTTGTCCCACGGGTTTGACCAGTCAAGTCCTGGCATCAAAGCCTACGGCTCTCCAACAGCACCCCGCTGAGGAGATCAACGTTCATGCGTGGGGCTCGGTCGGGCGCAAGGCCGGACGGGGAGTTCCAAGGGTCGGTGCAGGCTTTTTGATTGGGTTCTCCCAAAAGGGAAACCATCACTGGGTTTTGGTCGAATCAAAAATGGAACCTTGACAGTGCCAAGGGTTTGCCGTCGGTTTCCTCTCGGTTTTCAACTTGCTAACTGCCATTTCAGCTTTTGGCGCCTGATCTGGTGGTGCAAGTGGGGCTGGGGCGTGCAGCTGCTACCGCGCGCTCTTGTGAATGCAGTCGCGCTTCAAAGAGTGTGAGTGGCACATTTGGCTTGTCTTCTTTTAGGGTGCCCCAAAACGGCTCAGGTTCCTTTGGGTTTCCCTTTAAGGCAAGAACAACAAGGGCCAATAGAAAATGGAAGACCGTCGGGTCACGTTTGGGATGGGGTATTTGCGGTCGCCTTTTTGGGCGCAGTCTGGCTTTTTAAGCGCGCCCGGCTGGCTCAAAGGGGACGCCTTTCTGGATGCTCATGCCAGCTCAGAAGCAACCGGAGAGGTGTGCCGCTTTTGTTCCCTAGCCATGGAAGTTGTTCATGCTAATGTGGGCGTTTTACAAGAAGGATATCTCAGGGAGCAGAAGCGAACCAACCTGTTCCGGGTCCTTCGTTTTAGGATAAATTTAGGAAGCATGGTTTCGATGCGCTTCTTTTGCCGTGTCGTTGTTTTTGGATCACCGACAAAGTTTCCCGCAATTTTCCGTGGCTCGGGATTCTTGAGGTAGCAGCAAAAGCCTAGCAACTGCCGCTTCGGAATGACTGCGTGCGTGGGCAGCATGACTTTTACCGGGGAACCACACTGTATTGATCAACACAGCTTCACGCATATGCAGGTTTCACTGCGTGTCCTGATATTTGCCCGAGCAGGCATCTGCGCAATTGAATTCGTGCTACGTAGGCCTGCTCTCCCGGGCTCCTCCCCCCCAAAAAAAAATCACACTTCCTCGTTCCGCCATCAAGCAACGCTCGATCACGAAAACGATTGATGATTTTGCACATCAAACAGCTGTCTTGGCGTAGGTAGACATCCACGATCAATCAACTTGTTACAATTGATTACTCACTTTTTGCGAGTACCCCGTTTTGGTGGTTTTAAAGGGAACGGCGCGAGGAAAACCCACCTTTGCGAGGGTTCCCCCAAAATACGACACCCTGAAAACCATCAGACCGCGCCGTCCGCAGATCTTTCACACCCTGGCGGACTTAAGTGACGACGAGTTCGAGGCGACGTTGGAACCTGGTGGGTCCCTGACGAGGTTTTGGGGGTCTCTCATGGGGCCCTGGTGGGTCCAGGGAACCTGGGTTAGCGGGTCCAGAAGGAAATTCTGGATTTTCGTTGGGTGCCATGTCTGATCTGCGGGCTTGCGGGATGCGACTTTTCTGGCCAGGTCGAGCCGCCGATTGACGTCAAGTCTTGGAGCGCTGGGTGGCTCTCGTGGGTTTGGTGGGTGGGTTGGCTGGTTGGTTGGTTGGGTGGGTTGGGTGTTTTCTTTTTTCGTCGCAGGAGTGCTGTGGGAGCCCGTATCCGCCAGTCCCTTGTGGACTTGGATGAGGCCGGTCCTGTGAGCTATAAGAAGGTTTGGTTCTTGACATGGGTGTGTCTGCTTTTAAGGAGCCCCTCCACATGGCAGCTAAAATCATGGCTCTTTCGCGGTGCTCGCAACATAACATAGCCCCTAAACATGGCTCCTGATTCGGTGCGACGACGTTTTGGTTCTCTTCACGACCAAGCAAAAAGGAGGTGTGACAACACGGCCGCCAGTGAGACCAATGGTGTGACAACGTGTGTCAAGCTTAGAACTCGATTGGGACTTTCTTGGTGGGCCCCCAGACTGGGGTTGATTTGAAGGAGAACCAAAAGAAAGCTTAATGCTTTTTGGTTGGCTTTTGCCTTGGTAGATGGAGCCAAAGACCTATGCTTGCGTCACCCTAGCTCTTTGATACGCCCATCTGGAGCACGGTTTGGATGCGCCTTTTCTGGATTTCGCTTGTTCTTCCCTTTTGTTGGTCCATTTTTTAGTACTCTTTTGGTGCTCTTTTCATATATTTGTTGGTGGATCCAAACCTGGATATCTTGCTCCACAGCTTCGCCACAAATCCAAACCGTTTTGACAAACTTTAACTCCAAAGGACACCAAAAGTTAACCGACCCACAGGTTGCCTTTCATGTTCCACCGTTTGTTTTGTGGGTGAACTCGAAGTTTACCTCCAAAGGGACACACAGCCGCCGCAGGACGAGCCGAGCCCTGAGCCAACCTGCCCCTGAGAGCGGAAACGCGCGCGAATGAGTTCTCTTGGATTCGATGCGTGCGCTGGCCGAATCTGTAGCTAGTTTCCGGTGTATAGGACCAGAAGCCAGCAGCCCAGAAAAGGTGGGACGGCACCAGAAACGGACGGGGGGGGGGGGGGAATATCTAATTCTTTGCCGGGGGGCTTTTGGCGGGAGCTGCGTCCAAAGTTGCACCCGAAGGGGTAGGGACGTTGTGTGCATGGCTTTGTAGAATTTCCGAGGTGGGGTTGCCCGTTGAGTTTTCCGGGTTGCAGGGGAATCCATGGTTCTGTTCTCACACATCACTTGACTCCGGTTTTTCCGGATGGCTGAAACGTTCCACGAGGGTTTTACGTCATTTTACGCGTGGCGTGGCCCAAGCCGGGAGATTTTGAGGGTCATTTTCGGCGGCGGTGGGTTTTCGGCCAAAGCGCGCCCAAACCACGCCGCCCGGCTTGAGATGTTCGAGTTGGATGAAGCTCGTCTGCAGGCGGGGTGTGGAGCCCAAAGAAGGGAGAAGGTTTGTCACCGTTGCTGGCAGGTTTTAGGTTTCCTTGCTTTTTGGGTTCTGTTCATGTTATTGGGGGGGAGGGGGAGGGGGAGCTGCAAAAAACCACCTTCTTTGTGCTACCAGGGATGCTTGAACGCTAGGTGCATAAGATACGTCAAAAAGAACGGAGTTGAAGCCTGCAGGAGCTGGCCAAAAAGACGCAGAGGCGAGTAGAGGATCAATCCTACTTCCCTCACCTTAACCACGAGCAGCAGCAGCACATGAAGGATCTCTGGAAGAAGTTCCGCGTCCAGTGCTACGATTACTGGACCGGGCATGGGGAATTTAGCGGCTTTCTAGGACCCATGTGGCCTATATGGGTGCGCATTTTTTACCTGAATCTAAGGCCTTAGCTCTTCCTGTAAGTACGCCATAGCACTTCACACGGATGAGGGCTTGTTGTTTTGGCCTTTTGGGATGTGAATCCCCAAGCGGCCTTTGGTTCCCCTTTCAATTCGCAGGTTTTCTTCTGTGGCCCCATATAATCCAAGCCACCCAAAAGCGGGGCCGAAATTGAGTTGCCGGGAAACCAACACGAAACCAACACGAAACCAACACGAAACCAACACGAAACCAACACGAAACCAACACGAAACCAACACGAAACCAACACGAAACCAACACGAAACCAACACGAAACCAACACGAAACCAACACGAAACCAACACGAACCCAACACGAAACCAACACGAAACCAACACGAAACCAACAGGCTAAAGTCAGTGGATCCAGTTTCCAATAGTCACCCGTTCTAAGTTGCGCGACCCAGAAAGGCAATTGCTGATGTCCCAGCTTGACACAGTCAACAACTGGGGGACAAGGGGGTTGATCAAGATTCCGTTCGACCCCGAATGACCATGGGTAACTTTTCCCATCTAGTGGTCAAGAACTCTTGCCCTCCCTCCCACGAACATAGCACCTGAAGGAGGGTCCCTTCAAGAGGAAATTCATCATCCAGGTACCGCCCCACAGGTCCTGTGGTGGAAGGGTCATGGATCGATCGGGGCTTCGCGTTTCAGGATGGAGGAGGTGGAGAACGAGAAGCTCATGCACGCGCACGGGGTCCTAAAGGAGGTGGTGGCCCGGTGCACGCTGAGCTTCCGAGAGAGGAGCAGCCACGTGAAGGACCAGCGCATATTGCTTTGTCTTTTTTGAGGCTACCATTCTTGGGGTTAGTTTACAACATGGAAAACCGCTATGTTTTTATTCTTTGTTTTTTGTGCGGGAGAGTTCCATTTTGTTTCATCCTCTTTTTCTTTTTGGGGGGGGGAGCGGCCAAAAAATGCACATCACTAATCGCTTCGGCCTCTTTCTGTATGCGGGTGACCAGACTGTATCATGAGAGTCGGGATTTGGAGCTCCACCCCCCACGGAAACAGAAGAGAAAGAGGTTGGCTCTTTTTGGTTTCCCTGCCCAGCTTTGAAACAGGGTCTGAAAACGTCTCTCAAAACACGGGCCCCACCCTGGAGCTGTTCTTTTGGTCGAACAGCGGCTCGGGGCGCCCGACTCGCAATCCGCCGGTCTTTCAAGGACGCCGCGGTTTGCCACGAAGAGATCCTCATGGCCTATCGGCACTGCAAGCGGCTGCGAACGGAGTGAGCGCCGAAAAAAGAGAGGGCGGTTCTGCAGGTGTGTGTGTGTGGGTGTGTATTTATATATATATATATATATATATATGTGTGTGTGTGTGTGTGTGTGTGTGTGTGTGTGTGTGTGTGTGTGTGTGTGTGTGTGTGTGTGTGTGTGTGTGTGTGTGTGTATGTGTGTGTGTGTACATGTGTGTGTGCACATGTGTGTGTGTGTGTGTGTGTGTGTTGGGGGGCGGACGGGGCGCGGACGGATGGATTTTGGCTTAGGTGGCAGCGTCATGGACACCGGGCGCTTGTTTGCCTGGGGCCTCGGTGCCGGCCTCAGTTATCGCCCCGCTTGGGGTCGTCCAAAGGAGTTGGTTCCTTTTTGGATGTCTTAAAGGAAGCCAACCTGTCTCAGCACAAGAAAAGCACAGCTGATCAGCTTCCCCGTGATTTGTGGTTTGGAGCCTGGTGGTTTGGTGGCTAAGGGCTGGTTTGCCATTTGCCCTTTGTGGGTGAGCTCCTTTGGGCGGTCATAGAGAAAAGGGTTTTTGAGCCTGAAGAAAGGCAGGGCAACCCGGGTCCTGGCTCAAGTCTGCCACCCAAAATTGGTGGCAGAATTTGGTGCAAGAAAATACACACACTTGGTCCATTTTCTTCAAATGCACAGGAGAGAGGGAGATCATTTTTTCAAACGGAAACCAAAAAAAGGAGTTTGCTGAAACAATATTTTTTCTGGGGGGGGGGCAGTTTCTCAGACAGCATTTGTGGAAAAGCGCAACGTTCTAAAGGAGAGATGAATTTTTGCACTTGCTACCATTTTCGTTCCCACAATGTAAACATTTTCCAACTCACAAGAAGGAAGAGCTTTCCTTTTGTGCGATCTCACAGGAAAAGCTAAGTCAAAGGAATTCATATGTTGTAAGTTGTAGGGTTTGAGTTCACTGTAAGACTGTAAGAAACAGCTAGAATCTTGCGATCCTCTTGGTTTTCGTGGAAGTCAGTTTGAGTTGGAACCAGAACCAATCCGCCCGAACCTCGTGGACAGAGCCATGTGCCGCCGAAGCCGGATTTGGGCCATGGCGGGTCTCAGTGCGGCGCTGACGCCGGGGTTCAGCCTGCCGGATCCGGTGGCCTGGCGATTTAGCCCTTCGGGTGTTGGGGCTTGGAGGGCCCAACAGCGCTGGACTGGGATGGAGCCTCTTTTTGGGGCGCTTCTGATTGAGGGCGGCAATAGGGAATTCTAGAAACACGGAGAGAGATAGAGAGGCGCCTTTCCTTTCTTGCCACTGTGTTGCGTGCCTTTCAAATGGACGGTTCATGGCCATGCGGGGTGAGTTGGCCCTCACGAAGGCAACTGCCAACTGGCCCTAGGTGAGGTTCAAGGGAGGGAGCCACGGGCAGCCTGGAGCGCTCGTTCTGTGATCCAATTTCCTTGGAATCGAGTTTCTTAAAGTACAGTACGTTCCTCACTTATTCGCCCCAAAAAAAACATACAGAAATCTCTCTCTCTATATCTACAGATATATATATATATATATGTATATATATGTATATATATATATATATACGAATACCAGACATATCAACAAACGAGGGTGAGCAGCATAACCATGGGCATCAAATGCACCTCCGAGGTGCTTCAGGGCACGTGGCGCTGGATCCAGGACTTCGTAGCCGAGGAGAAGCTGTGCCCCTGGGCCCCGCGGGCGCGGGCCAAAGTGCTGCGCCTGCCCGGCGCCTCCCAGGCGCTGTGCCAGGCGGCGAGAGACCCGGACCAGACACGTCAAGGGGAGATGCTGTCGGCTTTTTCTTTTTGTTTTCTTTGTCTTTTTTCCGGAGGTCCGGCTTTTCGAGGTGCGGAAGCGCAGGTTGGCAGGAGCGACCGGAGTTGTTCTGTTTTTTTGCTTGCTTGGCTTTGCTTGTGTGTGTCTGTGTGTGCGTTTGGTTGGGGGGTGTCTGCTCAGTATTTTTTGCAGTCTTATTTTGTTTGGGTAAGGATTGGAGGCGGAGGCCCTTCTTGCAAGCCAGCACGAGTGGCCGACGACTCTGATGGTCTGCTCCCACCAGGCCGGCGGCAGGCAGCTGTGACGCGCTGTCCAATGGGGCGTTCCAAACCCCCTCGGTGTGCGCTTCCCTTCTCTGGGCGGCTCCCAGCCATCCGGTTCCTTAGCCTTTTATCTTTTCAGTGTTTAGTGGTAGAGTCAGCTTTCTGGTGCCTAGTGCCCGGCTTCCATTTTTTTCCCGCCAGCGGCCACCTGGGACATTCGTGGGCTTGATTTGAGAGAAGCCCATGTCTTAGGAGACCGCCCCGGAACAAAGAGTGGCTCGGGGGTTTCCCTTGAAAGACGCCCAAGAGAAGGTACCTTCAGAAAGAAGGCAAGGCTCTTCTTCAAAAAACCACCGAAGAGAAGGTGCCTTTAGAAGGAGGGCAAGCCAAGATGGACATCTTTTTCTTTAAAGCCTCCGAAGAGAAGGTACCTTTAGAAAGAAGGTTTAGAAACAAGGCAAGGCCAGATGCCACCGAAGAGAAGGTACCTTTAGAAAGAGGGCAAGGCCAGATGGACATCTTTTTCTTCAAAACCACCGAAGAGAAGGTACCTTCAGAAAGAAGGCAAAGCTTTTCTTTAAAACCCCCGAAGAGAAGGTACCTTTAGAATCATAGAAAGAAGGCAAGGCCAGATGGACATTAAAACGACAGAAGAGAAGGTACCTTCAGAAAGAAGGCAAAGCTTTTCTTTAAAACCCCCGAAGAGAAGGTACCTTTAGAATCATAGAAAGAAGGCAAGGCCAGATGGACATTAAAACGACAGAAGAGAAGGTACCTTTAGAAAGAGGGCAAGGCCAAATGGGCATCTTTTTCTTAAAAACCACCGAAGAGAAGGTACCTTCAGAAAAAAAGGCAATGCACCCAAGAGACGGTACCTTCAGACAGAAGGCAAGGCCAGATGGACATCTTTTTCTGTAAAACTATCGAAGAGAAGCTACCTTCAGAAAGAAAACAAAGCCAGATGGACATCTTTTTCTTTAAAACCACCAAAGAGAAGGTACCTTCAGAAGAAAGGCAAGGCCAGATGGCCATCTTCTTCTTTAAAAGCCACCCAAGAAAAGCTACCTTCACCGCATGGCCCTCTTTTTTGAGGTCTTGGGGGGGGACTTCGCGAAGCTCGGAGGACTTTGCAGGAGCCGGCGGCTGGCGGCGGTTCTCAAGGCTTTGTGCAGCGATCCAAGCCTCACAGCAGGACCCGGATCCAAGCCATTTGTGGCTCCAAATTAAAGAGCTAAAGCAACTGCAGGTTTTGGTATTTTGGTCTTTACTCACCAGGTGGCATTCTGGTATTTTGAGCCACGGGCCAGTAGGGAACCTCTAGAAGGTTTCAATATAAACCACAACCAAATTGAAGAACAGGTATTCCTGGTGGCTTGGATTGGTGGCTTGGAGGGGTTCCGGGGTCGTTCCAAAAATTCTCCTTAGGCCCAGGGATTCCAATCCCAAACCCGGTGAATACACCTGTGGTGGGAGGGGCGTTCCCCTGCAGAAAGGGATCTTTTTGTCCCGAAGAAAGGGACCCCCCCCGATCCTTACCAGGCAGAAGTGCGGGGTCATGAAGCAGATGGGGAATTATTCTTCGGCTGAGATTTTTTGGCAGTTCAAGGTGGGTTTTAAGTCGACTTTTGGCCCACAGGCTGGTGTTGAAAGCGAAAAGCAGGAACCAGCCGTCGAACCAACCAGCGCCTTATTCTTTTTGTTAATCCCTGCAGCGGGTAGCAGGGTTCCGTGTTTTTAGCACCCGAAGGTAAACTTAGTTCAGTTGTGCTGCATGTCCGAATCGAGCGGTTATGCATTTGATAGGGAGCCACCTAACAAGGTGGCCATGAATCCCCACAAACACTCCATGTCTCACCATTTCGGGTCCTTTTGGACATTGGACGCATTAATATTCACGCCTGACGCGCCCGCCCCTCGCAAAAAGGCTTGGATGAGCGATCCCATCGACAATACATGATAACATCTATATGCACATGTATATGCATACGTCAAGATTCTCTAATGATCAGGTTGAGTGCCACAGACCTTTGGAGACAGACTCTGCGAAGACATCAGTGGTACTTTTTGAGCATACCGCTTGTTCTCTCTTTTTTTTCCCGTAACACCCAGTGGATCCCTGTTAGTAGGCAACCAGCCATGTTCCTTTTGGGTGCGTCAGGTATTCCCTTGGTCTTTTTGGTAACCAGCTTTGCTTCCTTGGTGTCCTTGGCAAACCAAGACCTGGAACAGCCAATCCGAGAGCCATGCCGATCCCTTCAGCTCCACTGGAACCCTTGGATCTCAAAAGAGACATCCTCGACCTGCGCGAAGAGCTGCAGTCGAGCCTTCGGAGGCTGGAAGCTCGTCTCCGCAGACTCGAGACGCGCGGGCTGGAGGCAAATGGGCGTCTCAAAATGGGCCCTGAAAGTTGGTGTTTGTCCTTTGTTCCACTTTGAAACAGCCCCAAAAAATGTACCATCAGCACACACGAATGATGTGGAATGCGTTTGCCTCTTGGCGAGGATGACAATGGTGAGGAAAGGGTGGAGATGAAGGTGGAGATGAAGGCGGAGGATGAGAAGGTGCAACTAGAAGCCGAAGATGTTATTTCGAGACAGGCAACGCAGCAAGCTGATCACCTGTCAGGGCAGGAAGGCCGACATCATTTTGGAGCGAGCGCGTGGACTTTTCCTTTCGTCATTGGTTTGGTTCCTGCTGGTCGGTGGGATGTGACCTTCTCGATTCTGCTGTTGCTACTGAATTTGTGTATGCAGGCAGCATTCACAGTCATCATTTCGACGGAAGATTTCATGGGCATCCCCTTTTGGCGTCAAATCAACTATGCGAAGCGATGGCGCATCAGTATGGCCCATGACTATCAATATCTGGATCTGGCTGGGAGGAGCTTGGTGTCGCGCGTTTGTGCGGTGGATGGGGCGTTGATTCTGTCCACCACCCAAGCCAGCCTGGTGGAGCAGATAAACAGCTTCTTGGGATTGCAGGAGGCCGAGTTTGAGGTCCCATTTTTCCAGCCCGGATTATTGCTCTGTATGCTGTGTACCTCGGCGGTTTTGTTCACATTTTCTTGAATTTGGAATGACGTATTACATTTGTAGCGCATACTTTGTAGATGTGTGACAACTTTGCAATCTCCAGGTATCCTCTTTTGGAGCCTTTGTGTCTACAAGGAGTACCGCAACATTTGGCTGGGTTTGGAGGCGGTGTGGCAGATTCCCCGCTCTGACCAGTCGATCTTCCGCGACAATACCTTGTGCAGCATCTGCAAAGTTCGCTTCAAGGCGCTGTTATTCACGTATTTGGCACGCGCCGCCATAGCCACGCTTCTTCTTGGCGCAGGAATTCGGTGGCTTGCCGGTACCACATCCATCACTGATTTGATGCTGAATTGTGTGGCACTGAATGCAATCCTGGACATAGATGAGTTTCATGGATTTGCGAGCACTTCTTTTTGGGGTTATTTTGCTCGAGGGAATTCCCATGTCATGTGATGTCATGTGCTTATTGATTAGGGGACCCAATGAATCTAAGGTTTTTGTTTGCTGGCTTCACTCCAATCTCGATTCAAGTGGCGGTGCAGAACTTGAAGCCTGTCAAGATCAAGTACGGCCGACAGCGAAGCCAGCTTGAGAGTCTTGGCTTGCTGATTCTTCTGATCGGCACACTGCTCATACCCTACTTTCTCTTATTGCAACCGCTAGCTGAATCGATGATTACAGTGAAGACCGAACTCTGTGGTGGCAATCAAACCTTCGTGGTGGGACTCAATTCAGAGACCCAGCAAACTGTTGCACTTGTGACCAAAAGCGGCTTTGACGCTTCGAATCTCACCGTCACCGAACTGGCGGTTGACCGGCACACATTCAACACAGGATCTGAAGAGCCGTATCCATACCTCCTCTTCTTCTCTCCCAGCGCTGGCGCCTTCAACCGGTATCTCAAATGGGACATGGATACAGAAGTGACACAATGGGGTCTGTGCATCGAAACAGAGGTTTTGCAGCCGAGTGGCCCTGTGTATGGAGATCCTCTCATTCAGCCTTTGATAGAGCTGATATTTCGCAATGCAGCTGTCAACCTGGGCGTATTGGATGTTGATGTGCCGGGCTGTGCTGACTTACAGTCTCTTTGTTCTCTCCCTGATGCGCGGCTGCTGCGAATGGTTTGTGGTGCCACTTGTGGATGCAATGATCCTTATGCCTCGGCTTGGCATAAAGTGCCATCGCAGGGGTGTATCCCACAATGCCTACAAGAGGCCACTGCTCAGTTGGCAGCATCAACTTGCGAAGATCGAATCGTAGAAGAGGAGTGGGAACTGGCTTGGAACATCTATCCGGATGCAATGTCTTCCTTTTTCAGCATTGATGTCAGAACGTCGGCAATCTATGAGTCTCTGCAAAACCTGTCCAACACCATGAAGTCCACGGGCTGTTCTGCATTGACGAACCCAACCTTTGAAATTGAAATTATGACACGCGCGCGCTGGTGTGAAGGCCACCCAAAGTTGTTTCGGCCTCTGGCTGGGCAGTGCCCTGTGTCTTGTGGCTGTGTCGGGGCAAGTCCACTGCCAGTGTATTGTCCCATCAGCTGCGCAGCTGTGACATCTCCATGAGATATTGTGGCTTGAGCATGGTGACGCCGGACTGGCCCTATGCACAAGAAGTGCATGCATCTTCGAATGAAGCATGTTTCCAGATCCAAGGGGTTGCCGCAAAAAGGGTGTCCATACAAGCAGACCCACTTTGGCAGAGCTGCGCAGCACCCTCTTGATGTGCAAGTTTATGGTTGTGGAAGCAGCTTGCGTGTTGTGTCCTGGCTGCTCCTAAAACTGTCCAACTCAAACTGAAGATGCACAACTACCCACACACACACACACAGACACATGCAAACATGTTGATGTACAGCTTGTGAGTTCCATGTTAGAGTTTCTACCCACTTGTGATTTGCAGCCCATACCGAACGAAAGCATCAAGCAAGCCGCTCAACCCTGGGACGACCATTTGCCTTTCAAAGGGATCCCTGTCAGGTTCCATGTTAATTGGTGGGATGGTATTATTTGGGTGAACCCCGCCTCGTGCGGTGGCTCCCAAAGAGATCCAGCGTGGAGTAGCATCGCGTAAGAACTCAGTTTGGACACATTGCGCGCATGAACAGCAACTTGCATTGCCGGGCCAAAGGAAGACTATAAAAAGCAGAAGTAAAGTAAGATAGAAAAGAGACACAAAAAGAGAATGAGAAAGATAGAAACTTTAGAGCCTCCGGCTCAGTCCGCTCCTTTTCTCCTTCTTCCTCTCTCCCTTGTCTCCCTTGTGTGTTCTGTCGTCCTCTCTCCCTGGCTCTGCTCCCCATCCTCCCCATCCCCCCAAGCCTCTGTCTCCCCAATCTCCCTGTCTCGTATGTATGTATGTATGCATGTATTTATGTAATGTATGTATGTATGTATGTATGTAATGTATGTAGGTATGTATGTATGTATGTATGTATGTATGTAAGTATGTAATGTATGTAGGTATGTATGTATGTATGTATGTAATGTATGTATGTATGTATGTATGTATGTATGTATGCATGCATGCATGCATGCATGCATGTATGTATGTATGTATGTATGTATGTATGTATGTATGTAATGTATGCATGCATGTATGTATGTATGTAATTAATGCATGTATGTATGTATGTATGTATGTATGTATGCATGTATGTATGTATGTAAGTAATGTATGTGTTGTATGTAATGCATGTAATGTATGTAGGTATGTATGTATGTATGTATGTAGGTAGGTATGTATGTATGTATGTAATGTAATGTAATGTAATGTAATGTAATGTAATGTAATGTAATGTAATGTAATGTAATGAAATGTATGTATGTATGTAATGTAACGTAAGGTAATGTAAGGTAATGTAATGTAATGTAATGTAATGTATGTATGTAATGTATGTATGTAATGTAATGTAATGTAATGTAATGTATGTAATGTATGTATGTATGTATGTATGTATGTAATGTAATGTAATGTAATGTAATGTAATGTAATGTATGTATGTATGTATGTATGTATGTATGTAATGTAATGTAATGTAATGTATGTAATGTATGTATGTATGTATGTATGTATGTAATGTAATGTAATGTAATGTAATGTATGTATGTATGTATGTATGTATGTATGTATGTATGTATGTATGTATGTATGTAATGTATGTATGTATGTATGTATGTATGTATGTATGTATGTATGTATATGTATGTATGTATGTATGTATGTATGTATGTATGTTGTATGTATGTATGTATGTATGTATGTATGTATGTATGTATGTATGTATGTAATGTATGTATGTAATGTATGTATGTATGTATGTATGTATGTAATGTAATGTAATGTAATGTAATGTAATGTAATGTAATGTAATGTAATGTAATGTAATGTAATGTAATGTAATGTAATGTAATGTAATGTAATGTAATGTAATGTAATGTAATGTAATGTAATGTATGTATGTATGTATGTATGTATGTAATGTATGTATGTATGTATGTATGTATGTATGAATGTATGTATGTATGTATGTATGTATGTATGTATGTATGTATGTATGTATGTATGTATGTATGTATGTATGTATGTATGTAATGTATGTAATGTATGTATGTATGTATGTATGTATGTATGTATGTATGTATGTATGTATGTATGTATGTATGTATGTATGTATGTTATGTATGTATGTATGTATGTATGTATGTATATGTATGTATGTAGTATGTATGTATGTATGTATGTATGTATGTATGTATGTATGTATGTAATGTATGTATGTATGTATGTATGTATGTATGTATGTATGTATGTATGTATGTATGTATGTATGTATGTAATGTGTGTATGTATGTAATGTAATTTAATGTAATGTAATGTAATGTAATGTAATGTAATTATGTATGTATGTATGTATGCATGTATGTATGTAATGTAATGTAATGTAATGTAATGTAATGTAATGTAATGTAATGTAATGTAATGTAATGCAATAATGTAATGTAATGTAATGTAATGTATGCATGCATGCATGCATGCACGCACGCACGCATGCATGTATGTATGTATGTATGTATGTATGTATGTAATGTATGTGTGCATGTATGTATGTATGTATGTATGTATGTATGTATGTATTATGTATGTATCCTTGCACTTCCCCTTTGCTCCCCAGTATTTCCCGCAAAAATCACGGTTTTTCCAGTGTTTTCGCAAAGAGGACGTCCAAAACACTGTTTTTGGCAAAAGGATGCAGGAAGCCCAAGCCAGCAAAAAAGCTGGCAGGGGGAATCGAGCCTGGGACCCCTGTTTTGCGACACCGGCTTCCCGAAGACTACGTTTAGTGGAACGCCATCAAATTGCCGCGCGGTACGTGGGGGACCCCCCCCCCCCCCCCAAAAAAACCTATGTATTTGACGTCGGGGGGGGGGGGGGTAAGGAGGGGGGGGGTTAATTCTCTATTCTCTAGTAAGTATCCGACACGCCGAACAATGTCGGCGGACATGATTTCCAGCCTGATGGCTGCAGAAATGTGTCTTGCGCACGCTGCCCCCACGCTATCTTTTCGCAGCAGCCTAGTCCGGCCTCTCTTGCGTGCCCCAGCCCAGGCAGGCGCAGGCCCGCCCCAACCAGCGTGTCTGAAACTAGCTTTAGGCCCAGTGCTGCGCTGACTCTTGGCTCCATGGCTCACTCCTGGTCCCACGCGTCGCCTTGTGGGCAACGCGCAGCGTTTACAGTTAAAAGAAGAACTCAGGTGAGATAGAAAAGATAAAAAGTGAAAGAGAATGATACAGATTGGAACATTATTCTAGATCCAATAGATGACTGGTACTTCCGGGAATGAAAAGAATCTGGAAGGGATAGGGGTTATGCTTGGCATAACATGAAGTCCTAAGACATGCATTGGGGACGAGGTAAGAAGACACACCAGATGTTCGCTTTTTACTCCGGGGCCGACTGGAGACATTCAAGTTCGCGTGCGCCCGCCTGACCTGCAAAAAGCCACAAATGCTGGAGCCAGGAAACGGTTACATGCACATATGCATAGAGGTCTACACACCTATATATGAATATATATATATATAGATATGTACACATTCGTATATATATAAATACATTTGCATATGCGTACATTAAGATTTTCTGTTGGCCAGGACTGGTTAGGGTTGGAGCCGACATCCCAACACCCCCGACATCCCGACCCCGTGTCCTGACGAGCCCAAGGGTTTGAAGGGTCTATTGGCTAGCAGTTTTTTTTTGCGCTGCTTCTCTCTATCTATCCATCTATCTATCCAGCTATCTATCCATCCATCTATGTCTGTCTGTTTGTCTGTCTGTCTGTCTGTCTATCTATTGTATCTATTTCTCTATCTAGTGTATCTGTCTATCTATCTATCTATCTATCTAGCTAATCTATCTAGCCAATCTATCTATCTACGTACCTATCTATTTATCTATCTATTTATCTGTCTATCTATTTAATCAATCTATCTATCTACCTAGCAAGTTGTTTATCAAATTCTCTACTACCTTTCTATCTGTCTGTCTGTCTGTCTGTCTTTCTTTCTTACACAAGAGTCCCCCTTTTCCAACATCCCGGGTTGGGGCAGAGTTCTAAACGAGTTTACTAACTGTGTTTCTGCAATCTTCCAGTCACGGGCCTTGGAGCCGTGCAGCTGCTTGGAAAGCTTGCAGTTGCTCATTGGGCAAGGCTCTAGCAAAGAAATGGATACAAGGGTTCAAGGAGCCGAAATCAAAGGCTCATTGGCCCGCAGACACAGCGTCCAAAAAGTCTAACGTTCAGCAAGGCTCAGCAGTCGAAGGGTTCAACTGGCTGGAGTTTACTGTGTATCTGTGGCAAGGGTCCAGGGCAAGGGTCCAAGGATTGTCCACAGACGCAAGGGTTCAGGATGCAAGGTCCAACCCTAAACAATTTCCAGGCGTTGACCAGGTTGAGCGGCTCAAGATCCTTGGAGAGACTCAATTCAGAGACCCAGCAAGCTATTGCACTTGTGACCAAAAGCGGCTTTGACGCTTCGAATCTCACCCTCACCGAACTGGCGGTTGACCGGCACACATTCAACACAGGAACTGAAGAGTCGTGACGCCTTCGGTCAGAACCTCAAATGGGACATGGCAACAGAAGTGACACAATGGGGTCTGTGCATCGAAGCAGAGGCTTCCCTGTGTATGGGGATCCTCTCATTCAGCCTTTGTTAAAGCCGATATTTCGCAATGCAGCTGTCAGCCTGGGTATATCGGATGTTGATGCGCTCGGCTGTGCTGACTTACAGTCTCTTTGTTCTCTCCCCGATGCGCGACTACTGCGAATGGTTTGTGGTGCCACTTGTGGACGCAATGATCCTTATGCCTCGGCTTGGCCCTGGCATATGGTGACATCGCAAGGGTGTATCCCACAATGCCTGCAAGAGGCCACCTGAGTTGGCGGCATCAACTTGCGAAGATCGAATCGTAGAAGAGGAGTGGAAACTCTTTTGGAACATCTACCCAGATGCGATGTCTTACTTTTACAGCGTTGATGTCAGAACGTCACCGGCCTATGAGTCTCTGCTAAGCATGTCCAACACCATGAAGTCCACGGGCTGTTCTGCGCTGAAGAACCCAAACTTTGAATTTGAGATGTTGACACGCACACGCTGGTGTGAAGGCCACTCAAGGTTGTTTCGGCCTCTGGCTGGGCAGTGTCCTGTGTCTTGTGGCTGTGTCGGGGCAAGTCCACGCCAGTGTATTGTCCCAGCAGCTGCGCAGCTGTGACAGCTCCATGAGATATTGTGGCTTAAGCATGGTGATGCCGGACTGGCCCTACGCACAAGAAGTGCATGCATCTTCGAATGAAGCATGTTTCTGTGTCCATACAAGCATACCCACTTTAGCAGAGCTGCGGGGCGCCCTCTTGATGTGCAAGTTTATGGTTGTGGCAGCAGCTTGCGTGTTGTGTCCTGGCTGCTCCTAAAACTGTCCAACTCAAACTGAAGATGCAAAACTACCCCCCCACACACAGACGCATGACGCACATGTTGATTTGCAGCTTGGCACACCCCAGGTTCAAGTTTTTACCCATTTGCGACGTGCGCCCCATACCGAGCGGAAGCATCAAGCAAGCGGCTGAATCCTGTGACGACCATTTGGGACCCCTGTCAGGTTCCATGTTAGTTGGGGGTGACCCGGCTCGTGCGACGGCTCCCAAAGATTTCCGGCGCGGAGTAGCGGTGCGTAAGAACTCATTTTTGGAGACATGGAACTCATGAGCAGCAGCTTGCATTGCCGGGCCAAAGGAAGACTATAAAAAGCAGAAGTAAAGTAAGATAGAAAAGAGACCAAGTGAAACAGATACAAAAAGAGAATGAGAAAGATAGAAACATGATTCCAGACCCAATAGATGACAGGTACTTCCGGGAATGAAAAGAATCCGGAAGGGATGGGGTTCTGCTTAGCATAACATGAAGTCCCAAGACACGCATTGGGGAAGAGGTAAGAAGACAAACCAGATGTTAGCTTGTTACTCGGGGGGTCCGATTGGACACGCTAAAGTTCGCAGTTGGTGCCTGGCCCAAAGCATTGCGAATGAGCGATCCGCAAAAAGCTGGAGTGAGGGAGTGGTTGCGTGCACATATGTATAGATATATGCAGATATATATGAAATTCTAAGAATATATGCATATGTATGTATATTTACTGGTATGTATATATATATATATTCATATGTACACATACGTGAATACGTATATGCAAACATATGCATATACATATGCGTACGTTAAGATTCTCTGTTGTGACCAGATTGAGCGGCTCAGATCCTTGGAGTGACACAGCGAAGATATGGGCAAGTGACGCATTTCAAAATACCGGTTGTTTCTTCAACAAGTGTAACACCCAGTCGATCCGAGTTACCAGGAAAAGTAGGTAACCAGCCATGTTCTTTTTAGTTTTGGCAGGGTCCCTTGCAAGCCGGAATGTGTTCCCTTCGTCCCCTTGGTAACCAGCCTTGCCTCCCAGTTGGCAAAACAAGACCTGGGACAGTAACCAATCCGAGAGCCATGCCGATCCCTTCAGCTCCACTGGAACCGTTGGATCTCAAAAGAGACATCCTCGACCTGCGCGAAGAGCTGCAGTTGAACCTTCGGAGGCTGGAAGCTCGTCTCCGCAGACTCGAGACGCGCGGGCTGGAGGCAAATGGGCGTCTCAAAATGGGCCCTGAAAGTTGGTGTTTGTCCTTTGTTCCACTTTGAAACAGCCCCAAAAAATGTACCATCAGCACACACGAATGATGTGGAATGCGTTTGCCTCTTGGCGAGGATGACAATGTTGACGAAAGGGTGGAGATGAAGGTGGAGATGAAGGTGGAGGATGAGAAGGTGCAACTAGATCTCCGGGGTGTAGAGCCAGAAGCCGAAGATGTCATTTCGAGACAGGCGACGCAAGCTGATCACCTGTCAGGGCAGGAAGGCCAACATCATTTTGGAGCGAGCGCATGGACTTTTCCTTTTGTAATTGGTTTGGCTCCTGCTGGTTGGTGGGATGTGACCTTCTCGATTCTGCTGTTGCTACTGAATTTGTGCATGCAGGCAGCATTTACAGTCATCATTTCGACGGAAGATTTCATGGGCGTCCCCTTTTGGCGTCAAATCAACTATGCGAAGCGATGGCGCACCAGCATGGCCCACAACTATCAATATCTGGATCTGGCTGGGAGGAGCTTGGTGTCGCGCGTTTGTGCGGTGGATGGGGCGTTGATTCTGTCCACCACGCAAGCCAGCCTGGTGGAGCAGATAAACAGCTTCTTGGGATTGCAGGAGGCTGAGTTTGAGGTCCCATTTTTTCAGCCCGGATTATTGCTCTGTATGCTGTGTACCTCGGCGGTTTTGTTCACATTTTCTTGAAGCCCAACAGAATTTGGAAAGACACAAAAACATTTGTAGCTCATACGTTGTAGATTGTAGATGTGTGAACATTTGGGAACCTCCAGGTATCCTCTTTTGGAGCCTTTGTGTCTACAAGGAGTACCGCAGCATTTGGCTGGGTTTGGAGGCGGTGTGGCAGATTCCCCGCTCTGACCAGTCGATCTTCCGCGACAATACCTTGTGCAGCATCTGCAAAGTTCGCTTCAAGGCGCTGTTATTCACGTATTTGGCACGCGCCGCCATAGCCACGCTTCTTCTTGGCGCAGGAATTCGGTGGCTTGCTGGTACCACATCCATCACTGATTTGATGCTGAATTGTGTGGCACTGAATGCAATCCTGGACATAGATGAGTTTCATGGATTTGCGAGCACTTCTTTTTGGGGGTATTTTGCTCGAGGGAATTCCCATGTGCTTATTGATTATTTGCGTTTGCTTTTTGTGGGGGACCCAATGAATCTAAGGTTTTTGTTTGCTGGCTTCACTCCAATCTCGATTCAAGTGGCGGTGCAGAACTTGAAGCCTGTCAAGATCAAGTACGGCCGACAGCGAAGCCAGCTTGAGAGTCTTGGCTTGCTGATTCTGCTGATCGGCACACTGCTCATACCCTACTTTCTCTTCTTGCAACCTCTAGCTGAATCGATGATCGCAGTGAAAACTGAACTCTGTGGCGGCAATCAAACCTTCGTGGTAGGATTCAATTCAGAGACCCAGCAAGCTATTGCACTTGTGACCAAAAGCGACTTTGACGCTTCGAATCTCACCCTCACCGAACTGGCGGTTGACCGGCACACATTCAACACAGGAACTGAAGAGCCGTATCCTTACCTCCTCTACTTCGCGCCCAACGCTGACGCCTTCGGTCAGAACCTCAAATGGGACATGACAACAGAAGTGACACAATGGGGTCTGTGCATCGAAACAGAGGCTTTGCAGCCGAGTGGCCCTGTGTATGGAGATCCTCTCATTCAGCCTTTGTTAGAGCTGATATTTCGCAATGCAGCTGTCAGCCTGGGCGTATTGGATGTTGATGTGCCGGGCTGTGCTGACTTACAGTCTCTTTGTTCTCTCCCCGATGCGCGACTGCTGCGAATGGTGTGTGGTGCCACTTGTGGATGCAATGATCCTTATGCCTCGGCTTGGCATAAGGTGATATCGCAGGGGTGTATCCCACAATGCCTACAAGAGGCCACTGCTCAGTTGGCGGCATCAACTTGCGAAGATCGAATCGTAGAAGAGGAGTGGACACTCTTTTGGAACATCTACCCAGATGCGATGTCTTACTTTTACAGCGTTGATGTCAGAAAGTCACCGGCCTATGAGTCTCTGCTAAACATGTCCAACACCATGAAGTCCACGGGCTGTTCTGCGCTGAAGAACCCAAACTTCGAATTTGAGATGTTGACACGCACACGCTGGTGTGAAGGCCACTCAAGGTTGTTTCGGCCTCTGGCTGGGCAGTGTCCTGTTTCTTGTGGCTGTGTCGGAGCAAGTCCACTGCCAGTGTATTGTCCCAGCAGCTGCGCAGCTGTGACAGCTCCATGAGATATTGCGGCTTAAGCACGGTGATGCCGGACTGGCCCTATGCACAAGAAGTGCAGGCATCTTCAAACGAAGCATGTTTCTAGATAAAAGATGCGCATATGAGCAGGCCAGCAGAGCTGCGGAAAACATTGGTTGTGGTAGAAGCTTGCATGTTTTGCCCTAACTACTCCTAACTGAAACAGGAGATGCAAAACCACCCACACCCAGACACCTGGCTCAGAACCTGGTAGCTTTTGCATCTCTAGCCAATAGAGAAAAAGCCCGCTTTGGTGACTGTGGTGCAGTTTATGCTTGTTCCTATCGGAACCAAACACTGCTTACAATACATTTGGTCACTTACCTCTTCAATACATATTTGCCTCGTGCCTCGGAGTCGATCCAACTTTCATATATTTTTTTAGCGGCGGGGTTCTTGAACCCCCAAAAATTTTGCAGCCTCAAAACCCACCCAGTTTGGGCCCTGGCCGGTGTCGGTGTCGGGGAAACCGAGGAGGTGGAGGTCCTGGGCTTCCACCCGCTCCGGGAGGACCGGGGCCCGGGGTGCCGCAGCAGCCCGCTGGACGAGGGCCACTTCTCGGTGCGCGCCCGGGGCCTGGGGGTGGAGGGGGGGGGGCGGGGAGCTGGACGTGGGGGGGGAGTGGTGGATGGGAGGCTTGGAGGTTTGGAGGTTTGGAGGTTTGGAGGTTTGGAGGTTTGGAGGTTTGGTGACTAGGGCAAGCCTTGTTCTAAGCTTGGAATTGGGAGGAATGAAGCCGAAGCTGGCGGCTTCGCAGCGCGCGCCTTTGTCGAGGCGCCGTGGCCCACGCTACAGCTGCTGTTGCGCCGCGACCTCGCGCGGGCGCGCGCGGAGTGGAAGAAGAGCCGCCCAGCGGAGGCGGGGCTCACAGGAAGCCCGGCTTGCAGCTCTTGATTGCCATTGGATTGGATCTTGGTTTCGGTCTTCTGACCTTTTTTGGCATGCTATGATGTGCTGGAACGAAGACTTCACAATTGCCACTGGTTGGTGGACATGAAATTTCTGAATCCCAACCACCATTTTGGGCTCTTGTTTGGTTGCGCTTGACCCCTCTGCAAAAAAGTTGAACACTTTGTGTGGGTTAAATTCGCAAAGCCCTCCATGTCCCCTGACAATCAGGTCATTTTGAATGTTGGTAGCATGATGCGTGTAGGCCCCTTGACATGGCTGGTCTTTGGTGTGGCCTATTTCTATTAGTTTTTTTTTTTTGCGCGAGGGGGGGGGGGAGAGCAACTCGGTTGAATGCCAGGTTCAAAGATTCAGTTATCTCTTGCATTATTGGCAACGGCATGCCAGTGGCGTTGAACAAAACTTGCGTCTTCGAAGTATCCTTGGCTTTTGGTGCCCGCCCTTCTTTCTTGGAGCGCCCCTTGCCAAGTCCCACAGGAAGAAAACCGCCTCCGACACGGCAAGCTCCGAGCTCGGAGCTAGGCGGCGCCGGGGGCGCTGGGTCTGCTTCTGGCCAACAAGGCGCGGCTCCGCGCCCTGGGGCGCCAGGAGCTGCTCCGGCGCTTCCAGAGCTTCGCGGGCGATGGCGCGGACGGCCGAGAAAAAGGGCCCGGGGGGGAGGGGGGGGGGGGGCGCGCGCGCAAGCGGCTGGCGCGGGCGGGCGGGGCGGGGCGGGCGCAGCGGTTGGCGTTTTTGGCACCCTTCTGCAAATAGGGTATCCTTTTCTTTGGTTGGATGGGTTGAAAGGAAGCAAACAAGAAATCACATGGGATCCCTAGTTCTGAGAAGCGCCCCACGTATGGGGAGGGGCGGGAGGAGAACCAAAGGAGGAAAGACTCGTCGGGTTCCCAACAATATAGCAGTTAGGGAGCCAAGGGTATCCAAATTTGCTTGTAAAGGAGCTAAAGGAGCTACCGATCGAAGTTGCGTAAGAAAATTGTAGTCGCAAAGCTCCTAACAAGCTCTTTGGCAAAAGACGAAAGAGGTGCCCAAAAGGGACCAGGGGCCAACCATAGGTTGACCTTTGTGAGTTTGGGTGCCGTTCACACTGCGTTGGGTTTGAGGCCTCACAGCTACTCCAGTCGGCAAGAGGGGTTGCTGTTGCGTTGTAAGTTGCCAGCCTGAGGCAGCTATGGTGCCCTGGGCATTGGCTCCTGGGCGGATTGCCTCACCCCCACGGAGGTTTGGTTTCCGGACGACGCCCAGGCCTCAGCGAGGTTGGACACCAAATTGCCAGAGCTACGAGGTCTGGGCGGGGTTTCTGGGCTGGGACTGAAATTCAGGGGAGGTTGGCTTCACTGGGTTGTCGTGGATTCCCTTGGGGACTCCACCTCCTACCTCCTGGTTTTTTGAGTCTGCCCTGGGGTCAATCGCCTTTCATGGGCCGTGGCCGTGCCTTGAGGATGCGGAAGCGCAGAGGCACGTGCTGGGCTTTTTCCGGATTTTCTGGTCACGAAATGGCTGTGGTTGTCAAAACCGTTTTGGGATCCCATTTTGGGGTAGGTGCACCACCCATTTTAGGACCTAGTTTAGTGGGGATTGGGATGTTCACTGGGGGTACGGGATTTTGACCCATGGCCAAATGGGTATGTCTCAAAATAGGGGACCCAGTTTCCGTCTGGATTTCCTTTTAAACAGGCGAACAAAGGGAAACCTCAAAAGAAAAAGACGTGCCCAAATGTTACAAATATTCCGCATAATTGTCTCATACTGCTGCTGGACGAAATCCCGAAATCCAGTTGACGCATTTGCCCCATCCTCAGATGTGCATCCCAGGTGGACGATTTCGTCCATCCTCACGAATGCTTGCAGTTGTTGGTTTTAGCTACAGTGCCATGTACTCAGCAGAGAGTCTGGGAACAGCCCGGATTGGTGCCACTTTCTCCCCAGACCAGCTCTCACGTATGAAGGGTGACCATGCACAGTGTTTCCCATTTTGACTGGCCCTGTGCAAGGCGCAATACCGCCGTGTGCCAGGCTGGAAAGGTGTCAAAACGTGGTGGTTTTACTTGGTTTAGCCAGGGTTCCGGTAAATCCCATGTAATGCCATATAGTCCACTAGTGGGCATGGGCTTACGGCACTGCTCAGCGTTTTGCTCCACGCATCTCGCGCAAGCGTAGTTCTTGGTTGGGTGCTTTGTGCAATGGCCTGAGTGTGCGGTTTCTGTTGTTTCCCGTTTGCAGCAAGCCTTGATGAGAAGAAAAACGTGGGCCGTGCATTAGTTCTGTGCGAGGTGGAAAAGCACCAGTGCCAAAAAGCCCCTTGTTGGTGGCTTGATGCAGGTGGCCGCAGGCACCAAGCATTCCGTGGCCCTTTCCACTTCAGGGCAGGTCCCGGCCCCAGCCGGTGCAGACACCGGCCGCAGTTTTGTCTTGGCCGCACTCTGTTTTGTTGTTTTGTTTAAAAAGAAGATGGCACAATGCCTTTTCTGTTGGGCAAAGGAAGGCAGTTCAATGAACATGGGTGGATTCTGCCATCTCGTTTCCTGTACCCTTTTTTTGTAGTTCGTAAGCGGCGTCCCCCACTAAGGCAGCAAACAAGCCAGGACTGGCCTCATTGAAACACATGAGCCACCCCTTGGTTAAAGTCCTACTTGGGATGATCAAGCAAAGGAACCTCTTGGGCAAGCCGTGCAACAAGGAACAGGGATCACATTCTGATGGGTGTTTCCGGGTTCATTGCCTTGAACCCACCTCGAGTCCATGCTGCCTTGAGTCGCCTGGCGCAGCTCCAACTTTCCCATTGGCTGCAAAAAGCGAAGGGCGACATTGACCTCCATCCCCCGAACCTCCATCTGCGCGAGCCCCATCAACAGAGGTATCAACAAGGCAAGCGCCAAGTGGAAGGAGTGCAGGCATGAAGCCTCACACGCGTCTCCAGCGTCAGCTGGTGCCCTTGAAAGTTGCCAAGAGGTTTTTCGCTGACGGCTTTGGGAAAGATCTCGGCCGCGAGAATTACACCAGAGTTTGTGGCGGCCATTTCGGAGGTGAAAGGGACCCTCCGAAAGTGGACATCGATCCTTTCGGTGGAAGCCAGCCGTACATCGATCCGACCCGCGCAAGGGAAATCCAGGGACGCACCCACCGATTGAAATCCACTTTGCAGGGTCAAAGCCTTCCTAGGGGTAAGAAAGGGCCCGCCTATGTTGGGAATCCCGGCTTCTTTGACACATGCCACATATGCGCATACAAACCTGTATGTGTATAACACATACATATGCGTAAAGTTGTTTGCTTGTGTGTTTGTAGTTTTTTGGGACCATATCTGTGAATATATATATATAGAGGTATGTACACATTATGTACATACAAGTGGATAAATCCACAAATTACTAAAGAGCTAACGAACTAAATGACAATACTCGTAAGCATATATTTTCAGATACATACACGAGACAGCAATTACACACTCATATATATATATATATATGCATATTCTGTTGGAGGGCACAGGTATCATATATATATATACATATAGGTATGCCCTGTTCACCGCCCTAAGGTGTTTACTTGGGGCCATGGCGGGCATGGACGGCTGGGGCTTGGACAGGCCAAGGCGCATTGGCTGGGGAGGGGTTCTCAAAATGGTGGGCTCCAAGAAATTGCGGGTTTCACGGATATTTGGACTGAACTGCTGGTTGGCTGAAGCTTTGTGGATTTCCGAAGTTTCAAAAATGGAGCCAGTTTGTGTTTGGTTTCCCTTTCAACCATCCCAAAACGGTACCAAGTGGAGCCAGTTAAACCTGTTTGCCTTGCCTTTCGACCAATCGATCCTTGATGTTATCAATTCTTGTATCGACAACGACCAACTTGGATCCAATCTAAAAAAGCGGTAGCTAAAACATATCCCCAAGTGCGTTGGGGTGCTGAGGAACCATTAAACCACATGTTGAAAAGCCATCGGGTGGAAGAAGGGCAAATTTTAACGAGATGCTGCTTCCATACCCCTTAGATACAGGCAAGATGGTGAGTACCGAATCGATATTATACTACAAGTTGCTACACCTGTTGTGGTTGGTTTTAAAGGGACACCACAAGGTAGACCCTAAACAATGTTGGAGCTCTGAGCAAGACACCCCCTGGCCAATTTTAGTGGGTGGCCGGGTCGCTTAAAGTGGTTGTTGACGGGTGTGCCTTTGAACCACTAGAGTGTTTGGGACGCTGCTGCCCAGCCCTCCCACCTGGTCTGAAAGGTGGTTCTGGTAAGGCCAATGGTTTTAGTTACGGGGAGCTGCTTCTTTTTGGGTGGATGGCCTGGATGTTTGTTTGTTTGTTTCTTCCTGCTTGCAGGGGGGCACCAAAAACAGGGCTCCTGATTTTAGCAACCCCATGAATGCCGGGCCCCCCTCCCCCCACGCCCAGCTGCCGTTTGCAATGACACATGGGGGAACTTGGGGCTTCCTGATTTCGTCTCGGCGCTTGGCATAAAAAGTGCTGGGAAGGTGAACTCCTGCATAAAGTGAACATACATTTGAGGGGAGGAGTAACCGAGTATGCGCAAACACACACACACACACACACATATGTGATAGGGACCTTTATACATATATATATATGTATTCACACACTGATGGCCAGTGAATGTCTGCAGGTGAGAGGACAGCCTTTGCCTTAGACGCGTGTCGAGCTCCATGAAAAGGTCTGGCAACCCAAACTTGCGATCGGTGCGATAGGCAGGGAATGAGACATGGAATGGCGCCAAGAACAACATCCAACTGCTGGTTTTCTTCAAGGGGGAAGCCTGGGTTCCTTCAACCACATTCCCTACCTGTCGCACCAGCAGCCAAAAGTATGCGTCCGAGTTCGGTGGTCGTTTTCTCCGAGGAGTTGGGTTGCGGACTAAAGGTCACTTGTACGCCGAATGAAAGGGCGACCGTGCGGGGGGCTTCGTTTTTTGGGTTCCCCGGCCTTTTGCTGAAACCCCACAGCGCGCCGGGGGGGGGGGAGAGGCGGGGGGGAGGGTCTCTGCCGGAAGTCTTCTCAGGAACTCCTACAGCGCCGAGTTCGTGCCCAGGCCAGGGGAGCACCCAAAGCGCATCTGCGGAGAGGCCTATTTTTGTGCGTAAAGGGCGCATGGCTGCTTGGTTCAACAGTGGGCCTCCGGGGCAATGGCTGAACTTTGTGCAAGAAGCGATGGGTTTTTCCAGTCCTATGAGAAGTGGGATCCACCACCAGTTTTGGTCCGCTTGAACATCAGCTGAATCTGATCCAAGGCTATGGCCCATGTCAGGTGTCAGGAAGCTCCTCGCAATCCGCGGCTTCGCAGTTTCACAAGTGCATCCAAAACGAAGTGGCCGAAAGGCAAGCGCGCAACGCCCGCCAAAGCCATCCTCAGGTCTTCCCTCCTCCCCCAAAAAAGAGCAAAAGCAACAACGACAACAACAAACAAACAGGCGGCAAACACAAAGCAACAACAAAATCACACGCGCACAGCGCCTTGTGCGCCGTGCTCATCAGCCGAAGTGGTTCACTGCCACCCCCTCGCACCTTGCCCATGGGAAAGCCTCCGGCGGGCTCTGGGGCTGCGGCGGTGAGGCGCAAGCCCTCCGCGACTCCGACCAGGCCGGTCGACCCAGAAAAGGGTTGATTTTCTTGGGGGGCGCGGGGGGGGGGGGGGCAGTAAGAATTCCCCGACCCACAAGAAAAAAAAACTGGAGTGTTTTGTTGGTTGGAGTTGGGGGAGGTTGGCTCTCCTTTTGGCCCCCAAATGGGTACTTGGGTGTTCGATTCGCCAAGTTAAGTTGTAACGTAACCGTTCGGTTACACGCACAGAAAGTTCCCCTGTGAATAGAAACCAATTGGCTAGCCTGGCCAAACATCCAAGTAATGTCTAGCTTGATGAATAACCCCCCGGTTGTCCAACTCGATTAACGGGGGGGGTAGGCAACAAGCCCTCCATCAAATTAGGGTTTCATAACTTCCCATTTGTCACAGTAGCCAGGTTTCTCCAAATTTTGGGACGCCCAAGTAGTGACCGCTTCTTTTCTGGGGTCGAGACCCGTCTTAGGGCATCAGGGACACCTCGGCTTTTCGGGTGCGTCGCATCTCTTTCAGGTTCTTCGACCTGGCGGCAGCCGTGGCGGGCGTGCGCATGCCAGAGGCGAGAGATGAAGATCGCAAGCGCAAGAGGGCGCTTTCGAGGTCAGCGGAAGAATGGGCAAGGAAAGGTTTTCCCACTTGGCTTTCGCATCACACGGATTTCCACTGTTCTTCCCTTCAGAGCTTTTGATGTGAAAGGTTACCACTTGGATTTCTTTCGGAGCAAGGCCCATTTTGGAAACAAAGGGCTGTGAATCTTAAGGAAACTCCATTCAGTGCTTGCTCGAAATGAATCCCCACCTTTTGCTGATGTCCACCAAAGGCGCCGAAAGAAAACACGGGTGGCATGTTTGTGGAGAAGTGCCTTTTGTTTCCGATTTCTTTGGGTGGCCATTCAGATCTTTCCAGCGACAACGTGGTCATGGAGATGACTCATGTTGGCATCACAGGTGAGATTTTCCCACTAGGATGGCGAGCTGTACCGGGTCCTTTGCTGCTGGATTTCACCCGCTTCGCATGCCTTTCAGCTTCACATCAGGCGAAGCCAGCGTGTTTTGGACTGGACCCCAAAGTGAGTGTTTCGAGTTCTCTCTTTTTTTCTTCCTTTTTTTTTTTTTTGCTGGGGTTCCTTTCAACCTACCACACATTCAGAGGCTACTTGTGAGTATGTCGCTTACATGCAGCAGGGAATCCCACTGTCAGTGTCTGGTGCTCAACATGTTTTTTTGCCTCCTGGGTGTGATTCTGTGGAATCCTTGACTAAGTACAGGCAGCCTGCTGGAGACACCGTCATATTCGTGACAGAGGAAGGTCCCGTATCCCATGAGGCCGAACCCTGGCAAACGAGGCAATCATTTCCATTGCCTTTGGAGATGGACTTGCCTTCTGGTCGTTTCCTATCTTCCATGGCTTTTGCAAAGGGAAGTCGTTCATTTCCCCCATTTCTTGAGCTTCATGCTGGGTTTGTCTCAAAATACGGAACCTACATAATTCATGGTTTCGTTTTGGGTCCCCAGTAAGGCTACCATATGGGTACCCTCAACAAAAAGGACACCCCATGTAAGTTTTCATATGTAGAGGCATATCTAGAGAATGGGGGTTTCTCAAAATCCAGCCGTGTCCATTATATATATATATAAATATCTATATGTACGCACATATGCCGTGCTTTCACCGGTCGAAGTCTGGCCCAGAGTATGCATATGCAAATAGATAACTGTATACGTAGATACATGTTTACATACATATGCATGTATATACATACATGTATACATATACATATAGATATATATGTATGTATCTATAGTTTTCTTTAAAACAGTGCAAAAGTAAACGAATAAAGCAACTTTTATTTGTATATATATATATATGTCTAGATATGTCTAGATATTTCTATGTCGAGATGCAAAGGTCGATTTATTCTCCCAGCTCCGTCCGCGCAGGACGCCTTCCCGGGCCTCGTGCCCCGCAAGCCGCTGGCGCCGCGGGATCTGAGCCACCCCCCGCGCCCGGGGCCCATCTCCGTGAAGCAGGCGGCGCCTTTGGCGAGCGGGTGGGTGGCGGGTGGTGGGGGGGCAGGGGGCTGGAGCGCGGGACTCGGGAATTTGGGTCTCGAAATTTTTGTTTCGATTTTTTGGCGGCGATGTTGATTCTTTTTTTGTTTTAGACATGTTTTTTTGCTTGTATATTTGAGGGAGCGGACTCGGGTGGCTTTTAAAGTGAAACGCTGGCTCAGGAGCCGCTCGGAGTTCTGGTTGGGGACATGGTGGTTGTTCCGAGGGGGCACTTGGATTCTGGCACGGCAAGTGGCGCAAACACAAAAAGAGAACAATAGCAACCCGACAACCAAAACATCAAGACCGAGAAACAACAGCAACCACCATGGTTTGGATGTTCAAGCCAGGAAAAGCTTCACTGCTCCTGGCATGTTTGTTGTTTGGTTCTGCTCAGTTTGAGCGGGCGGCCATCCGCAGCACCTGGGAGTTCACAGTCCATGTTGGACGATCAAATTCCTGGCGTTTCGGAATCAAAGCCTCGGTGGTTCCTTGCTAACAGCAAGTGAGGCACTCCAGGCTTCCAATGACGGCTTACAGCGATTTCCCCGTGTACAAGCAGTCTTTGAGTTTTGGAAGTGGCAGTTTTCAAGATGGTTCGCCTCTGGGGCCAACTTTCCTTTGGACAGGGTCGAAACCGTGCTGCGAACGGTGAAATGCTGACTCAGCACCCTTTCCGGACAACAGGCATAAAAAACAAAACGGGGGTCACTTTCTGCGGCAACCCCCGCGTTTGTTGGTGAGGCTTGTCCAGGTCCCCCGGCTAGGTGCCCTTGAACCTTTTTGGGGGGAGGGCTCCCCAAAAAATAAGAGACTACAGAAAAAAGTTGGTACCGGTACCCTTATTCTGGCCTCTCTGGGTCTTCGAATCCGAGGTCGTTGCGGGCACCAAGGGCTCCTTGTCGGCCAGATGCCCCACACGGACCCCGTCCCCGACCAAGACCTCGGAACAGGCCGCGAGGCGGATGGAATCCGACATGAGCGCCCTGGCCGTTTTTGCGGAAGTTTGAAAGTTGCGCACTGTTTTCCCTTCTTTTTTTTCAGGAGACTCAAGCATGGCGGCTGGGATCAAAAAAGATCCTCTTTGAATGTGATCCCCTTTGAATGTGTCTTTTGCTTCCTTTTTTTTTGAATACGGGACCCCCGCTGGCTCCCCTTTTTCCAACCTTCAGCGTACTGCCAGAACTGAGGAAAGCGCTCCGTGTGCCTCGCCTGCAGCTTGTTGCCAACCAAATTCAGGATACCTACGAACTGACAATGGCAAGCGCGCAAAAAGGGCCAACAGAATTTGAACCTGCAACCTCCCGGGTGTCCCTGAGACCTCGGGCGCGCTGCCATTGCGCCATGACCCCCTTGAACCCTTTTTTTGGTTTTGAACAAACTGCCTGCGCATAGGATTGTTTGCCTGCGAGGTCCTGTGCCAAGGCTGCCATCCAAAGTCTCCAAGGCGGGCGTTGTCTGTTTTTCTTTTTTTTTTTTTTGGAGGGGGGGGGGGGTAAGTCTGTCCATCTGCTTGCGCACAAACAAGATGCGCATGTACGTAAATGTTTTTGTGCAAGTTGTTTTTAGCATGCAGGTCATATACTTGGTATCTTGTGAAGAGGACAGCAGAGTGCGCTTCTGCTTGGGTGTTGGGCCAGCTTGGTAAGTAGGCTAGGTCCCCCGGCTAGGTGCCCTTTTACCCTTTTTTGGGGGGAGGGTTCCCTTATTGAAATAGACTGCAGGAAAAAGGGTGCCCTTATTCTAACCTCTCTACTGGAGGACCTAGTAGGTCATAACCTAGTTCCCTTGTATCCATGTACCTGCCAGGTAGCTCGAACTTCCAAGGATGGCCCTCGCGGAGGATGTTTTTAATTCAGCCATTGGACATCGCCAAGTGAGGTGTGGAGCCCTCAACAGGCCTCGGCAACCCACCCCTCATGTCTTCTTCGTTTGGCCCGTGCGTTTCCCTGTTCAGCCCGCCTTTTGGTTGCCACTTTTAGTTGAGTTTCCTTTGGGGTGATGTTGAAGGAGAAACATTTGTTGGCCGCGGACCTCAGCTTTGACAAAAGTCTGGTCCCGTCAGATAGGACCAATAGCCCCGCGGAAGACTCCAGGTCCGCCTGCGGAGTTCCAAGATCCTTCGCCGACCTTTGCGCCTTGGCGTTCCTAGCGTGGGGTGCCAAGCCTTCAGATAGACGAAATTCACGCCTAAGGAGGGACGCCCGAGGTGGCGGTTTTCGTTGATTGCCGTTTTGGCCTGTCTAAAGTCGGGGGCGTTGGATGGGGATGGAACAGTTTCTGAAAGGGAAGCCAAGCTAAGAGGGGGCTTGTTTGCCAGATGCGGATCCGAAGTCTTAGTTTCAGCACACGGTTTTCAAATGTATCCTTTAAGGAACCTGGCTAAATCTAAATGGGATTCCCAACAAATAGTGAGTTTCCTTTCCCCTTTTAAATGGCGCCCGAATCCCATGTTGCGAACTCCCTAAGTGTAAACTCCGGATTCATCCCGGAGGAGCGTGCTAATCAAAAGTGGCTTCCCTTTTGAAGACATTAACTATTTGGCGAGGTTCCTAGCTGGGTCGTGTCAATTTGTTTGAGGCTCGATCATGGTTTTGAGTTTGGTTTAAGTCACTCCGAGAGTTTCCGGACTTTATACTTGGAAGACCATGTTGTTAACAGACAATTTGTTTTCTGTTTGGCCAACCTACGGAAGTGATTTAAAGGGCCGCCAACATTTTGAGAAATGAGCAGTCAACTTGAGAGCTGAGGGGCATCTCCCTCCAGTTTCGGGCTACAGGGCTTCGGCCGACTCTGCTCATTACCTGGTTGCAAGTTGCAAGTTGCAACCATGTAACTCCGAAAGTTGTAAAGAAGTAGAGCTCCGCCCTGCAACCAGCAAACTAGACATGGGAGAAGCCCACCACCTATCTAGGGGTTGATTCCAATTCCGCTCTTTTCAACCATCGCTTTTTCCAGAAACCGGCCGTTGTCCCTGGGTTTCCGGAGGTTTTCTTGAAAGATCCGGATCCCTGGAAGGAATGGCTGGAATACCCCTAGAACATAGAGCTCCCCGCCCGAAAACCGAAACGAGGGCGCGGACCCCGCCGCGGCCCGCGTGGGGGAGGCCTGGCTTCGCCTGGCGCGCATCGCGCTGCGGCTCGGAGCGATCGATCCGCGAGAAACTCCCCCAACAAAACTCTCATGGTTCCATGTGCTATCCAAACCCCCCTCCAAGCACACACACACACACACACACACACATTTCTTCTTGGAAAAGACCACGATGGACGACGTATCTTTGGAGGTGCGCTTGTTTGGGGGTGGTGTGTTTGGTGTCAAAATCGGGATTTGGACGCCCAAACATTTGCCCTTTTGGTTGATGACTCGGGAAGGGCGGACATTGGAATTGATGGGTTGGCAACGTGGATTTTTGTTGGAATTGGGTTGCGCGAGTTGGGTTTTGGTTGGATTTTGGTTGAAACAGGACGGAGTGACATTGAACTTGGTGGAATAGATCGGACATGGTCAGATGAGTGCTTAGTGGCTCCCAGCCATCCCCTTAGCCTTTTCGCTTTGTGGTGCTTAGTGGTAGTTTCCGCTTAACCCCACTAAAAGTTGGTCACTTTTCGCGGGGGACCTGAGGGCGGCCCAGAGTGTTCTGGGTGGTTTTGGCGACCGGCGACCGGTGTGAGAAAGCACTGCCTCCGGAACATTCTGGAACCTCTGGTGGATGTTGGCTTTCCGCCATCCAAAGGGCAACCCTTTTGTAGGGTTAAGAGTTTTCGCCCGGCCAACCGTGGAACAAAGTAATTAAAGTGGCATTTTCCCACGGTTGGCTGGTTTCGCAAGTCTTAATTTTATGGGCGCCCCTGTTGTGAAGACACACATCTTGACAGAGCCTGGGTACATGTTCGCCCAAGAGCGTCAAGGCTTGCGCGCCTTTTTCCCTCCAAGATGCACGGGCCTCCCCGAGAAATCCACCAGATGTTCCCAAAAAGGAGGTCCCTCTCAACATGATGTGGATGGGCGCAATCCATTTCGGACCTAGGAAACCCAAGGGAATGATTCGATCCACGTAAATATGGTTGAAGGCACAGTGTGCTACTATGTGGGACATGGATTTCGCAACCATCCACCCTATGCTTTGTGTTCCTTTCTTCTTTTTTTTCTTCTTCTTTTTTTCGGGGGGGGTCCCAGGTTTAAGCCCTGGAGTTGCCATGGAAAGCCCCTGGGTTCTTCTTTGACCGCTTTGGTCCGCTCGGATCTGACGGGACGCCAAGGCTGGAGCTGGGAACGCGGGGGCCGGTGCATCCAAGCGTGGAGCCAGGCGACCGGACGTGGCGATTGGGCCACGCCGGCTTTCTTTGGGCTGTCGTTTTAAAAGTTGGACTTTCCAAGATGGCTTCTGTTTTTCTGTTGGTTTCCCCAACCGGTACCTTCAAGTAAAAGACGCACCCACGTGCTGCATGCCGCTTTTTTTTTTTTTTTTTTTTTTGGGGGGGGGGGTACGATCCGGCAAATGCACGTGAAACTCACTTTTGGGGGTCTGCCAAAAGGAGTTTCCTCTATGATGGTGTTGTGGATTCCATGTTCATCCGCTGGGTGCCCCGCCCCGCCCCTCCCTCCAACCCTCCCACTCCCCACTCCCCACTCCCCACTCCACGCCACGCTACGCCACGCTACGCTACGCCACTCACTCCACCCCAGTCCAGTAGGTCAGGTGGTTGTCAAGTCGCAAGAAAACTTGACCCTTGAGAGCCGTCGTCCCTTCAAGGTCGTCCGGCTCCTCAGCTTGGATGTAATTCAACAGCCTCAGCTGGTGGTTTGATTTTAGCCTCACTCCCACGCTGCCATGGCACCTGACAGACCCCGGTCCTTCCAGACCCTCCCACAGGTGCTATGTTAGTGGAAGGGTCATTCCTTCGACCTCGCGAATCAAAGAAATTTGGTCCAACCAGAAAGATGAATTGCACACCTCAGGTGTTTTTTTTCCCAATCGGCTTTCAAGAGTTCACCAAAGATCAAAGATGGACATAGATCCTCAAAATAGACTTTGGTTATGTGTTCCCGACCTATTTTGTCTCAGACCTACGGTGGATGGACGAAATCCATTTCGCACCAGAATGAAACCATGGTTGAAACCATTGTTGGTTATTTTTTCAGGGGAATCATCAGACACCAGGGTTTCTTAGGCGGTGCGAAGATCCACAGTAGTTCCCCAGAATTAGTTCCCCTTTGTGTTTTTGTTTTGTTTTTTTTTCTCCCTTTTTTGGGGTCCTCTTTGTTTTCCACTAATCAGGCAAAAATACATATTTGTTTGCTGGGGACCTAATTCCAGCCAAGAAAGCCGCTGCCTCTCTAGATCAAAGTTCCTGGCCGCAGGCGCCATCCGGAAGGCCATCCTGGATGACTCGGAGCAGGCGCGCTGGGCGGCTTAGGTTGGGTTGGATTGGGGTTTGGAAACCAGGCCAAATCAGGTTGTTTTTTCTTGTAGAGGGTAAATTGGGGCAACCACCTACCACCCACACGCTTGCTCGGTCGGTTGCCAGCACCCCAGTCTATACATAGAGTGCGACACGAACGCGGCGCACCGAAGTGATCTGACTGAAATGTACCTGAATGCTGTAGGACCTAGCACCAAACCACCCGGCTCCAAGCCATCAATCGGAGCGAAGCTGATGGTATGGCGGTTGACTCGTGCAGGCGGCGATTGATGTGGATTGGCGCTCGCCGCAAGCGCCGCGGCTGCGTTTTTATGGATGCATGAACTCGTTCTGAGATGTTCTGAGGGGGGCAAGGGGAGTGACTGGAATACTTGGGGAAGGTACAGGAGGCTAAAGGAGCTTAAAGGAAGATACCCCTTGCCCCCCCTCAGACCGAGTCCATGCTGGATGGCTGCAGCTGAAGAGCTGGATTGTTGTTTTGCTGGATTGTTGTTTTTGAAGATTCGTGTTCTTTTTGGTTGCGTGGGTCTTTGGACAGCATGTGCAGCTCACGGGCAGGAAAACAGCCGAAAGTGTTTGGCGCCGTAAGTGAGACTACAAGCATGCACGCATGGCCGGGTGTTCGAACCCATGCCCAGTCGCATGTGTGTGTGTGTGTGTGTGTGGGTGGGTGGGTGGGTGGGTGGGTGGGTGGGTGGGTGTTTGCCTGTCTGTGGCCTTTCTCAGAGTTGGCTTAAACGGAAGCCAAAAAGACAACGATACGCCTCATTTACACCTTGTTGGAGCTCCCCGAGTTTGACTCCTGCCCGCTTTTAAGCGACGTTGAACACTCACTTTTGGGCATGAGCCGCATGTGCCTTCAGGTGTGCTTAGGCTATCTCTTGGAGCAGTCCGTCACGTGGATAGAGCCCGAGTCCGACGACGACTTTCACTCGCCCAAAGCATCGGTGCAGAACGCGGAGGAGGCTGGGTCCCCTATGTCACAACAGCCGTGCCAACAGCCGGGCGGGATGGACGGGCATTGCCGAGCAAGCTGCTTTGCTTTGCTGCCATTGCTGATGTGGGTACGGGTCAAAATTAGACCACCACGAGACCGCAGGTTTTAGTCCTGGGTTCCAATTTCCAGGGTTCCATTTTGGGTACCTACTTTTGACCTGCAGCCATGTTGAAGCGACAGCTGGGGTTGAACTGAAGGGCCCGCAACCGCAGAATCGCGGCAGAAGCTCGTTTTGATTTTCCTGGGCCACGGGATGGGCATCGCCGAAGCGCTGCCCGGTCAGGAGGAGGAGACCCACCCTGCGATGAAAGCCATTGCGCGTCAGCAGCGCGCGCCGGGAATTGTGGAGGGCCTTCCGAAGCACCACGCCTCAGATCTTGGGCGGGAGTGGCCTCTGCGGGTTCGTGGTGTGGGCATGTTGGAGTTAGGTACGCTCCCAGAACAAACCACATGGAGGCTGCGCAGATTGCGCAGGAACCGGGCCCCTCAACAGGAGCATGTTGTGAAACTCAAAGAGTTCCAAGTCCAGCTCCCCTTGTTTGAAACATCATGGGGTCAATTCAAAGTGAGCCAACTGGGGGTGATGTTCATAGGTTCCACCTGAGCGGGACTTGAGAAATCTGCCGACCCTACCCGACCCTGGGGAATGTGCATTGTTCCCCAGGAGGCCAACCGTTTTTTTGTTTCTTTGACGCAAGGCCATGTGGGTTTGTCAGCCTTGGGGGGGGGAAATGCTCGCTGAGCCCACCACATGGCACGACACCGAGAGGTTTATTTTTGGGCTGGCCCTTTGTTTGTGGCTGGTTCGAGGCATTTGGGGGGCCATTTGGACACACACACACAAACCATGTTGCCGGGCGTAAATGGCCTCATTTTGCCTTTTGTTTCCTCATCTTCCCCCCTGCAAAAAATCAGAAAGTCCCACACAAAAAGCAAAAGGGTCAAGAAAGCTTCAGGCTGCGATGTCCGATTCGCCGAGGTGCTTGAGCTTCTGAGAATTGCACGGAATCGCACGCGCTGCATGGCCCAGAAAGTCTCACGGAATGATCAAAGAAGCCCCTGCAGGTGAGAAGCAGCAAGGACCCGGCGTCTGACACACGTGTATACATACATCCACGCCCACACGCAAGTAGGTTTTTATACATATATTTATGTGCATATGTGTATATATATATAAATAAATATGAATGCACATAAATTTATCTGTATATGCATGTATGCATATATACATACATACACACATATATATATATATATAGGTATATCTTACAGATATGTATGCACCCGCAAAGGCGTGCGTATGCAAATGCAAATGCGCTTGACTATCCGTATCCATTTGTTTGTGGCCAACCCTGCTGGGGGACAACCTGCAGAGGAGCTAAACTGTATTTTGCATGCCCAAGTGCCGGCAGCGCAGGTGCCGCGCTAAACTTAGTCGCTTGGATTCCATCTGCGCGCAAGCCAAGTGCAGGTCGCAAGAAACAAATCGAAGGTTGCCCAGCGGCCGGGGTGGGACTAGGAGCAGTGCGTTTTGGGATGGCCAGGGAAGGGTAATGTTGACCCCGGATTAAAAAAGCCCCTGTTTATTAATATAGGTCCCCTCCAAAAGTGACGAATCCCCACTAAAACCAGGGACACCCCCATATTAACAAACAGGGTTTTTTTAATCCGGGGTCAACATTACCTCCTTAGACGGCCCATGGGACCAGGCGCACCAACTGCCGCCTGCAAAGGGAGCTTGCGGTCACTGATCAAGTTGTTCGGACATGGCAGGGCAGCTGGAAGGAGCCGCATGGAAAATCAGCACGCTCGTTCGCGTGCACGGCCCGAGCTCGGAAAGCCGAAGGTACCCTTTGGAGGCTTCTTATTCAAACAGATCAAGTGCTTCTTGGAATTATGGGTGCTTCTTTTGCGTGCGAAGGCGCATCGCACCGCAAGCGCATATACAACTAAGCCTTCCTGGCAAACAGATACAGCCATGCCAACAAGTCAACAGAGCCTGCACCAAAGTTCACAGCAATGAGGGAATGCCACGGTTGCTCCCAAACCAGCTCATTGCCAATCCCCCGCAGAAGGTTTCCTACCTGTCAGCAAGAACCAAGCTGCATCAAGCTGAGACGCTGGGGGGCTCGCCCCCACTTAGCGGCCCTTCTTGGCGCTGACCGCAGCCGCATGGCCGAAAACTCGCTGGTGGCCAGAGGCTACAACGAGGATGACCTGTTCCAGCACTTCCTTCAGCGCCCCTGCAAAGACGTTTCTTCTGTGCTGTCGGGCCTGTTGGGTTTTGGATCTTTCACGCGTTTTTTTTTTTTTTTTTGTGGGGGGGGGGGCCACGTAGCAAGCAGTCAGACTATGAATCCGCAAGATGGGCAAGGTAGGCCATTGAATTGACCTCAAATCGTGCTTCCCTTCGGCAACAACCGCCCTTGCCCAAACCCTCCTTCCTCTCTCACCCACGGAACGCTAGCGGACGTCGCCGGAACTGTGACAAACCGACGCCAACTCCAGCGAAACCCAGAAATGCCAACCTCGTTGAACTTCCGACCCCGCGTTTCCCCAAAAGCCGAAGCCTCCAATCAAGAAGCTGGGGATCTCAGCGTGCCTGGCCGATCCGCGAACGCCTGGCTGCAACGATGTTTGCAGGTCCATGTGGAAAAGAAGGACAGCTTGGATGCGCGCTTTTTCATGTTCTCCGGTTCGTACTCTTTGAGCACTCTTTGCATATTTTGCCCTTTTTGTGTTTTGGGGTGGGTGGATCTTTGCGCATCTTTTGCTCCTTTTTTGTTTTTGGTGGGGGGTGGGTGGGTGGGGTGGGTGGCTGGATCCACAAAAGTTTCCTCGCAAGCCCCTCGCCGAGGCTGCGCCGCGCGCGGCGGAGGAGAAGTCTGGAAGGCTCTCTCGGATCAAAACCTCGACTAGACGGATCGGATGTCGCCAACTAGGTAATCTCAGCGAGGTGCCAACTTTTACCGCTTCTTTTTTTGGGGAGGGTTCGGGACCCTACTAGAATGGACTGCAGAAAAAGGAAAGGGTACCAACTTATTCTAACCTCTCTACTGGAGGACCCCTCTACTGGAGGACCTAGCCGCCAAAGGTCTGATCTGGCAGTGGTTGTCAAAACCGTTTTGGGATCCCATGTTGGTTGGTAGGTGAACTCACCACCCATTTTAGGCTTCCTATTTTAGGACGGTTGGAATCGGATGTTCACTGGGAATATACGATTTGGATTTTGACCCACCATCTCACCTCCCGAGTCTCGGGTTTGGACCATTTGGGTATGGGTTAAAGTGCTCAACCACCAGGAATTGGACCACCAGGAATCAGTCCATGTTTCCATTTGCCATGCGGAACATTTTGGGTACCCAGTTTTGACCAGTCATCTCTTGTGGTAAACCGAAAGTCCGCACCTTTGGACCAATCCACTTCAGCGAGTGATATATGGACCTCGGGTCGGCACGCGGAGTTCCGGATGAGTCGCCAGCTCAGGTTTCGTCGGTCTCTGAGGTTGGCCCCCCCCACCCCCCGAAAAGAAGAAGCGATTTTTCCGGTTTGCCTTGGGAACCGCAAACCAAAAGGCAGTGCCAGGCAGAGGCACCCTCGAACATCCGAAAAATGCTGGTTTCATGTTGGGTCATGGTCTCTCCGAGGCTCAAGTAATCCACTGGCGCTCCCTTATGTCAGTTTCACCCTCGTAGCTATGCCGCCCAGTGGTCTTGACCGTGTTCTTGATGAACTCCAGCAGATGCAGGACACCATGCTCTGCGTGCTTCTCGCTTGTTTGGTTCGGTTTCTGTTTGCGGGCCGCCAAAGGCCAACAAAAATCCAATTCTACCATATTGTTGACCCAGGATTAGTCTGCCCGTCCCATTATTAGGCGGGTGGGGACCCCTCCAAAAGTGGTCTGAATCCCCACTAAAAGGGGACATTTCCTGTTAATCCACCAGGGGTTCTACTTAGATCCGGGGTAATGTTGTACCTAGACGGCGCTCAAGGACGTGATTCCTTGAGCGCGCTGCCCCGCAGGAGTTGCAGCGCGCGATGGAGAAGCAGCAGCAGTCGCTCCGGAAAGCCATCGAAAGCCACCGCGACGAGATCCACGCGAAGGTCCCGGAGCCCCACGCCCCAGCCCAAGCCATGGCGCTGGGCGAGGCAGCCCCCGAGGCGCCCAAGCTCCTTCCCCGGAATTAGCTCCACCCCCCCTTTCCGTTTTTTGTTGTTTTTTGGTTTTTGGGCTTTTTTGGGGGGTCCCTTGGTTTTTTCCACTCAGCAGGCAAAAAAGATAAACATTTCTTTGCTGGGGTCCTCTTCTTCCAGCCAAGGTTTCTAGTAAACTCCGCGATGGCCAGCCTGACCGTGATGGTTCAGCCCCCACTTCCGGAGGAGGTGGACTCTGCCCCGCCCCTGTGTCCGGAGACCGTGCCAGTAGAGGGCAAGGTGAGATACAAAGCCGAAACTCGGGTAGAAGGTTAGAGGACACCCCCCTGGCCATCAATGGCTGGGATTTAAACCCCCCTAAACCCCCCTAAACCCCCCTAAACTAAGACAGGGTTTTGATTATGACTCGTCAGGTGGAGAAGGAGGTGATGACCCACACGCAAGGCGAGCCAGAGATGTTAGCGCTCACGCCAGGCGGGACGGCGGCCAATGTGGGGCTCACCGGGGCGACGCTGCAGAAGTTCGGAGCGAACCGAACCTCAGCAAACAAAGCCGAGCTCTTGTCATCATAGGTGTCCTTTTTAGGTTAGTGTGGTCAAAATTAGATGGGTTCCACTCGTTTAGATGGGCTGATTCCATTTACTAGGGCCATCTATTTTTCTAGAAGGACACCTATGCTTGACATGTGTTCCCAATTTTTGTCAATGTGCTTCCCTTAAAGGTTTAACGGTTTATTCGCCCGCCCACGTACCCGCCCACACATGCTATATTGGTGAAAGGAAGGGAAGGCCTTGATTTCCCAGTCCCTTGGCAAGTCAGGAACCCGCTCATTGAAAGGAAGGAAGTCTGAGGGAGACACAGAGGTAAAGGATTCCTGGGCAGCTGCGGAGATGTTGCAGCTCACAGGCGGGAACGCGGGAACGCGACCTGAGCAACCCGAAGTCCTTTTTGAGGTTGGGCCCTCCCCTTTTGGTTTCCCTAGGCTCGAAAGAATGGTATCCTCCGCAAGGACGAGGCACATGGGGCCCACATGTAGTCCATTTGTTCACAGGCGAGGATAAGATCATGGGTCGCTTCGACACGATCATCGGGGTCATGGTCCTCCTGAACGCGCTAGCCATGGCCATTAACCTGGAGTGTCTTGGTGCGAAATCTGGCACCGCCCTTGGCATCGCGAACGGGGACGCGATTTGCGTCATCACCCCCGCCTTGGACTTCTCCGAGCACTTCTTCGCCGCCGTCTTCACCATGGAGCTGCTCTACCGGCTCTACCGCATTCGATGCGACTACTTTCGGGATGCGTGGAACTGGCTGGACGCGTCCCTTGTACTTGTCGCAGTGGTGGATCTCTACGTGGTGGATGCCCTCCTTGCCGACTCGCCAGCAAACAATGCCACCACTCTCCGTGTCTTTCGAGTGGCTCTGTTGCCCAGTGGTGCCCCATTTTTTATCATTTTTCCAAACTTTGTTTTGGGTACCCTCCCACCAGCGAACATGGAAGTGCACAGACCCCTGTAGAAAGACTACTTTCCTCTTGGAAAGGCCTTTTTGCACTTCCATGTTAGTTGGTGGGAGGTAAGGGTTTCCCTTTAAACTCCACGTAAGGGTTTGCCTTTAAACTCCACCAACCCCCCCCCCAAAAAAAAAAGGCGCTGGTTTCGTTAGTTTGTTTAAAATATAGAAGGCACTGGTTAAGATGGGTTTGGTTCTATTGACCAGGGCCATCTATGTTTCCCCAAAGGAGACCACCTGTGGATGGACGAAATCCACTTCGCACCACCTAAGAAAGCCTGGGAATGCGTCGATTCGTAAACACCAACAAACGTTATGATTTCAACGTGGTGCGAAATGGGTTTCGCTCCACAGCATTAATAGGGGTATGTACAACCACCCCTGGACTTGTTCGGGGGTTTGAACCCCTGCAATGGGAAGCCACTTTTCCAAACCACCTGGGTAGGGTGACATTGGCGCCGATTTTCCTTTTTCCCCCTGGGAATAAGTCGTTTTCCTTGCAAATACCGACAAACCATGGTTTCCCCAATAGTTTCCCATGGCCTCCGGCGGAGAAATGAAGAAATCCGGCGCCGAGGTGGTGAAGCTCGCGCGAGTGCTGCGGATCGCCCGGGCGCTTCATCTCTTTCGGGGCCTCCGCGTGCTGATCAAGGCGTGTAGCTCCTTCTTGCCCTCCCTCAGTTGGTCCATGGCTTTGCTGGGCCTTTGCGTCTCAGCAAGCGCTCCGCGCTTTTTCTTCTTCTTTTCTTCCTTTGTTTTTTGGAGAGGTTATTTTGTAGAGCAAGCGAAGCTCTTTTTTTTGGATATAATTTTTTAGAACCTCTTTAAGTTTCTTTCCCCTTGCTAGCCCTGCTTCTTTCGCGGCAAAAGATGCGATCACCCTTTAATTCGGTGGGGTGATGCAGGGGGACATTTTGGGGAGCCCTGTTTACCCTGACTCTGTCCGTTCGGTCGGAAGACCGAGGTATCCTCCCACGCATCAACATGGAACCTGAGAGGTGCCTTCAAGAAGAAAATGGTCCAAACCAGGACCCATTCCCCGCTTCGCGAAACTCCAGAACACCGAGCCACCGAACCACCAAACCATCAATCATTAGGTAGCCCCGAGTTTGTGGCTTGGGCTGGTGGTGCGGGGATTTGAACCCCTACAATAGGAAACCACCCCTGAACCAAACCATCTAGGGGTAGGGTGACATTAGTGCGGTGAGCTGGTTGAGCCTAAGGTGGAGTACATACCCCTTGTTCATACCCCTTGGCTTCCCCAGGTTCCAACACATTTTATTTGGGTACACGGCATATGCCCCTTTTGGGGAGAGGGGGATTAACATCAGCAGGCCTGTTGGGCTCGTTTGCCCAAGGGGTATGTAAAAGGGGTATGTACAACCACCCCTGGACGAAATCCTGCACCACCTAAGAAAGCCTGGAATGAGTCGATTCCCTTGCAAATACCAACAAACGGTGGTTTCAACCATGGTTTCTTAGGTGCGCAATAATCCACAGCAATAGTAGGGGTGTGGTACAACCAGCCCTGGACTTGTTCGGGGGTTTGAACCCTACAATGGAAAATCACTTAACCAAACCAGCTATGGGTTGGGTGACATTGGTGCGGCAAGCTGGCTGACTTCGTTGCATTTTGCCGAGGGATGAAAGGACTTCAACTTTTCGCCCACTAACGGGTTCTCCAAAATAACAAAACACTAGAAGTGAGTTAAGCTTTCAGCATGGGAGCAGAAAGGTTCCGACCCCATAATATGGGCATATACCCCCCAAATAGGGGGTTGGGTTCATTTGCCCAAGGGGTATGCAAAAGGGCTATGTACCAACCACCCCCTGGGCCGCCAAGGGATGTTCACACTTCCGCTTTTTGCCAACTAACGTTTTTTTTTTTGCAAAAAACGCAAGCTGGGCTGAGGCGAGCTGAAGCATGTGTGTCGGTTCATACCCCTTGGCTTCCCTGAGTTGCAACGGGTCCCTTCTGGGCAGAGGGGTATGAAGATCAACAGGCCTGGGCTCATTTGCCCATGGTATGTGAAAGGGCGAAGAAACCAACCAATCCTCAGCAGTGGATGGCTCGCTTGCGATGGTTCTGCAAAGTTCTGGTGTTTGCGGTTTAAAGCCTCTGTTCCCAGGAATTGCCTCTGTGGCGCGAAATGGATTTCGTCCGCCTGGGCTGAGGCATCCTCTGTGGCGGCTTGCTGATCGGGAACTTGGTCCAGGACTTCATCCTGGACGAGGCCCAGGACCTTGAGACGAGGGACTGGATCTGGCGCCACTACGGCACCTCCTTCCGCGCCATCTACACCATGTACGCCACCCGGATGATTGAAAAACACGGAAAAAGCGAGGAGAGGCCACTCTGTTTTCTTTTTTCTTCTTTTTGTTGAAAAAACAAAAAACACCGTTGTGTTTTCATGGCTTTGGGCTTGCACCGTTTTCAGACAGGTATGTCCGGTGGATTTTCTGAAGGCTAGTAGTTTTGGCTGAAGCATTGACGATGCCGCAACTTTTTCACCGGAGTTTCCTGGAACTCGTTGAACTCGCTGTTTTGGCTGGTCGTTTTAGCAACTTTTGGAGCCTTGGAAGGTGGGTCCCATGATGGATGGGAGTGAGCGGGGTGAGGTTGTCAAAATTCCGACTCTTGTTCTGTGAAGGCATTCGAACACCGCGATTTCCGAGGAAATCACCTTTGCCGGGAATTGGGGCATCTATGCAAGACCCGTACTGGAGCATGTGAGCCAGGGCTTTGTGCTCTTTTATGTCACTTACATCACCTTCGTGGTTTTCGCGGTGATTCGTGTCATCACGGCGATCTTCCTGCGTGAGACACTAGAGGCTGCCAACAATGATGCCGAGCTCATGGTTCAGGAGCAAGGGTTCGGATCCCGGAAACAGGTCGAGGGTAGATTTAAGCAACACACTCTTTTTGGGGCCCTTTTAAACTGAGCTGCCTTCAAGCGGGGTGATGTAGGGGGAGCCCTTGCAATATCCTTTCCAAGCCTGTGGGTTTGATAGCAAGTCTGAACTGGGCGTGAGTCAAAATGAAACCACCAGGAATTCATTTTGGGGTTACCCTATTTTTGACCCACCAACTGGAACTGGGTGTGGCTCAAAATTAGACAGGAGGGGTTACTCAGGTTTTGGCCTTTGTTTCCATTTCCCAGGGCAAGCCATTTTGGGGTTACCCTATTTTTGACCCACCAACTGGAACTGGGTGTGGCTCAAAATTAGACAGGAGGGGTTACTCAGGTTTTGGCCTTTGTTTCCACTTCCCAGGGCAAGCCATGTTGGTACCGGTTTTTTGCCCCACAGCCAACTGACTTCCGCAGGAAGGCTTGCGGAGGAAGGCGACTTACATCCACAAGCTCGAGGCCATCTTCAACGCCATCGACGAGAGTCAGGATGGCTTGATCGACGAGGACGAGCTGAATGAGCTCTTCATGGACTCGCGGGTGACCACCTACTTGGAGACGCTGGAGATTCTTGGAGACACATTTTTTGCCAAGGGATGTGAGGGACTTGCTCTCACTGTTTGATCCAACTAATGATGGATGGGATGTTAGGACTGAATATCACTTTTTGACGCAACCTACTTGGTTTTCCGAATTTAAACCAACTGAATATCACTTCTTGATCCAACGAATGAATGGGTTTTCCGAATTTAAACCACGAAAAGTGAGTCACTTCT